TGCCCATTTAAAAAAAAGTTTTTGTTAAGAGTTTTTTAGAGCAGTTTTAGGTACACAACATAATCAAGGAGGGGAAGGTACAGATCTTCCCATATACCTCCTGCTCTACACTCACAGCTTCGCCCGTTATCAGCATCTCACAGCCAAGTTGTACATTTGTTACAAGTGATGCACTTCATTGACATAATCACCCAAAGTCCATAGCTTACATGACTTTTCACTCTTTGTGTTGTACATTCTTAGGTTTGGACAAGTGTATAATGACACGTATCCATCATTACGGTATCATGCAGTTTTTCTATTGGCTAAAGATCCGCTCTGCTCTGCCTATTCATTTCCTCCCTGCCCCTCCAACCCCTGTCAACCGCTGATCATCTTACTGTTTCCATAGTTTTGCCTTATTCAGAATATTGCTGGGGTCATGTTTTCAGTCATTTTTTTGGAATCATAGAGTATGTAGTCCTTCCAGATTGAATCTTTCATTTAGATATGTTTTTAAGATTCCTCCGTGTCTTTTCATGACTTGGTAACTCATTTCTTTCTAGTATTGAATAATATTCTGTTTCCTGGATCTGCCACAGTTTCCTTACTGATGGACATCTTGGTTGCTTCCAAGTTTTAGCAGTTATGCATAAAGGTGCTGTAAGCATTAATGCGCAGATTTTTGTGTGGACTTTTCAACTTCTTGGATAAATACTAAGGAGCATGATTGCTGGATTGGATGGTAAGAGTATATTTGGTTTTGTAAGAAACCACCGAACTGTCTTCTGTAATGGCTGTACCATTTTGCATTCCCACTAGTAATGAGTGAGAATTTCTGTTGTTCACATCCTTACCAACATTTGGTATTATTGGTATACCAGATTTTGGCCACTCTAATAACTGTACCATGACATCCTATTGTTTTAATTTTCATTTTCCTGATCACATAGGATGTGCAGTGTCTTTCCATATGCTTATTTGCCATCTCTATCTTCTTTGATAAAGTATCAGTTAAAGTCTGTGGTTCATTTTTTAGTTTGGGTGTTTCTTTTTATATTGTCGGGATTTTAAGAGTTTTTGTGTATTTTGGATAATAGTCTTATTGGATATCTGTTTTGCAAATATTTTCTCCTACTCTATTGCTTGTTTTCTAACTCTGTAACTACTCTAAATCTTGTTCATAGGGAAGTTTTTAATTTTAATGAAGTCAGTTTATTGTTGCTTTCATGGATATAGTGTCTTTGGTGATTCCTCTGCCCCCCTTTTAATCAGGTTATTTTTTTGTTGTTTTGTATCATAACTGTTTTTGATATATGTAGTTTTGATGTCATGACTAGATTTTCACATATAAATCATGTGAAAGTTTTGAGAATTATAATGTTTAATATAAATGAAAGCAGTGATTGTGGTTAACATCTTTTTTCTGAAATCAGCCTAATGCCTCCAAATGGAGCAGGGTGGGGGGAAGGTAGAACTTTGGAGTTAGTTATGTAGAGGAAATTAATTTGTAAAATTGGAATTCATTATGCTCAGGACTTGTAGACAGTTTTAGAATCATGTGTGGCTGGCATAAGGTCACAGCAAACAATTAGCCAGTGTTAAGGCCTTGAAAATAGTCCTATTTGTTCAACCATTCCTTTGTTGAGAGATTTTATAACCCTGGGCTGTTTACCTAAAAATAAGAGTCAAGTCAACTGAGAAGTTGATATTTGGTAAATAAAGTATATAAATATGTAGAATGTATAAAGTCAGTATTAGCTGTGACTCATTAGGTATAGTTTGTAGTCAAAAAAATATAAAGGATACCTGGGTGGCTCAGTCGGTTGAGCATCCAACTCTGGGTTTCCGCTCAGATCATGATCTCAGGCTTATGGGATTCAGCTCTGCATTGGACTCTGCACTCAGTGCAGAGTCTACTTAAGATTCTCTCCCTCCTCTTCTATCCCTCTCCTTCCACCCCCACCACTTGCTCTTTCTTCCTTTCTCTCAAATAAATAAAATTTAAAAAAATATAAGAAATACAAAAGCAATTATGACACTTATACTTTACTGATGGATATAAAAGATTTGAATGTTTATTTTTTTAAGATTCCACTTACTTACTTATGAGAGACACACAGAGAGAGGCAGAGACAGGCAGAGGGAGAAGCAGGCTCCCTGCAGGGAGCCTGATGCAGGACTCCATCCCAGGACCTTGGGATCATGACCCTAGCCAAAGGCAGATGCTTAATCAGTGAGCCACCTAGGCATTCCAGATTTGAATGCTTAAATGAACAAACCATGTGCCTGTGTGGAGAGACTTGATAGTGATTAAATATCAAGAACTGATACTTAGCATGGCCCCTGTGCAAGGATGACATGCAGATTCATGAAGCATTCCATATTTTTGGAAACCTTCAAATGTGGTGGGAATGCAAGCTGGTGCAGCCACTCTGGAAAACAATATGGAGGTTTCTTATAAAGTTGAAAGTAGAGTTACCCTGTGAACCAGCAATTGCACTACTGGGTATTTACCCCAAGGATATAAATTTAGTCATCCGAAGGGGGCACCTACACCCCAATGTTTATAGCAGCAATGTCCACAATAGTGAGACTATGAAAAGAGCCCAGATATCAATTGACAGATGAATGGATGAAGGATGATGTAGTATATATGTACAACAGACTACTACTCAGCCATCAAAAAAAAAAAAATCTTGCCATTTGCAATGACATGGATGGAAATAGAGGATATTATGCTAAGTGAAATAAATCAATCAGAGAAAGACAATTATCATATCTCACTCATGTGGAATTAAAGAAACAAAACAGGAGGTCATAGGGGAAGAGAGGAAAAAATAAAACACGACGAAATCAGAGAGAGACAAACCATAAGTGATTCTTTTTTTAAAAAATTTTTATTTATTTATGATAGTCACACAGAGAGAGAGAGGAAGAGACACAGGCAGAGGGAGAAGCAGGCTCCATGCACTGGGAGCCCGACGTGGGATTCGATCCCGGGTCTCCAGGATCACACCCTGGGCCAAAGGCAGGCGCCAAACCACTGCGCCACCCAGGGATCCCACCATAAGTGACTCTTAATCAAAAGAAACAAACAGGGTCTCTGGAGGGGTGGGAATGGGAGGCGGGGGGTGACTGGGTGATGAACATTAAGGAGGCCATGAGACGTGCTGAGCACTGGGTATTGTAAGACTGATGATCACTGACCTCTACATCTGAAACCAATAATATATTACATTGACAATTAATTAGTTGAATTTAAATACAATTAAAAAAACTTGATGGTTAAAAAAATTTGATATAGGGCAGTCCTTCTCAAATTAATATAGTTAATATAGTTCCAGTCAATATTTTAACCGAAATAAGAATTTTTAGTTTATTTGGAATGTGTGATGAACCCAGACAACTTTGAAAACATTCCAAATTCTTGATCTTCTATATAAGAATAAGAAACTGTACAAGCTACAGTAATTCATCTAATCCTAATTTAGGAATAAACAGGCTAATGGAGAAGTATTGACTTAGATATAGAACTGTCTCTGTATGGCATTTGGCATATCATTTCAAATAGTTAGGAATGTGTGGTTTTTTAAATGAGTGAGATGATTGAAAGAAGTAACTTTCTTGTACTATAAAATCATATTCCAGATGGATGAACATTTTAAATTTTAAAAAGGTATTCAAAACTATTGTAAAATATTTTAATCTTAATGACAAGAAGGTCATAAGAAAAAAAATTGATTACATAAAAGGAAAACCTATAAAATGACAAAATATTTTATAAGCTTGTAAAAGACAAGCTTGGAAAAGCTATTTAACTGTAAGTTGTTAACAGTTATTGTCAAAATAATTTAAATCCTAAAAATGGAAAAGTTTGAAGTTTTACCTCTGATTTCCTATTTTGTGTTTTTTTTTTTTAAGATTTTATTTATTTATTCATGAGAGACACAGAGAGAGAGAGAGAGGCAGAGACACAGGCAGAGGGAGAAGCAGGCTCTGTGCAGGGAGCCCCATGTGGGACTCGATCTGGGGTCTCCAGGATCACGCCCTGGGCTGAAGGCGGCACTAAACCACTGAGCAGCCACCTGGGCTGCCCTAAGAGAGGTTAAATCTTTTTTTTTTTTTTAATTTTTATTTATTTATGATAGTCACACAGAATAAGAGAGAGAGGCAGAGACACAGGCAGAGGGAGAAGCAGGCTCCATGCACTGGGAGCCCGACGTGGGGCTCGATCCCGGGTCCCCAGGATCGCGCCCCGGGCCAAAGGCAGGCGCTAAACTGCTGCGCCACCCAGGGATCCCTCCTATTTTGTGTTAACATTTATGTATAGGTGGGGAAATGAATAAATTGTCATTTATAGTTACAGTATGTTTTTTAAATTTAAGGAAATAATGTAAAAAGTTAATTTTTTAAATGGTGGAATATGTGTTTGTATGAACAAAATCATGTATCCCTTTAAGAATTATGGATATAAGGAATATTTTCTGTGTTTTTTTTTTAAGGGGGTGGAGTAGGAGCAAGGGGAGAAGGAGAGAATCTTAAGCAGGCTCCACCCAACACCCAAGGGCTTAATCTCACAACCCTGAGATTATGTCCTGAGCTGAAAGTGAGAGTTAGTTAACTATAAAGAAGCACCTATAAAGAATGTTTTCTTAAGACAGATTGTTACCCCCACTAAAAAATTAGTTATATACTAAAATGGTTATAGCAGCATGGTTGAGGGCAGCCCTGGTGGCTCAGCGGTTTAGCGCTGCCTTCAGCCCAGGGCAGGATCCTGGAGACCCAGGATCGAGTCCCACTTCGGGCTCCCTGTATGCAGCCTGCTTCTCCCTCTGCCTGTCTCTGCCTCTCTCTCTCTGCATCTCTCTGTATCTCTCATGGATAAATAAATAAAATCTCTTAAAAAAATTTTTTTTTTAAATTTTAAAAAAAACATGGTTGATGTCTGAAGCTTATGCCATGTTATATGTCTTAATAAATATTGATTAATCTAACTTCACATGTTTTCTTTTGTTCAGTCAGGTCAATTCAGTGAAGATATGATACCCACTGTGGGCTTCAACATGAGGAAAGTAACTAAAGGTAACGTCACAATAAAGGTATGTGATCTTGCGATACTTGATTCATATTGTCAGCATATACAGCTACAAATTTTTCTGTTTTTTTCTTTGCTTTTTACATATTTATTTGTACTTCTTAACTTATGAATATGTTCCAAAAGAATGTAAATCAGTTTTTTTCTTTCTCTCATAAATCAAAATGTTTAAGTTGAAATGTTATTAAGTGCCATGAAAAAACTTAGGATATGGTTTGTCAGAATAAAATTTGGGATGTGGATATTCCTAGGAAATAAAAATCCCATGTTTGAGATCCCATATTTAGAATGTGATTATATTATTTCATGAACAGTATTTTATATTGAAAGGTAACTTCTTATTTATAATATTGGCAATTTAGTATTATATTTGTGGTGCATATATGGTAACCTAGTTTTCACTTTCTTTGCTACCAAGCCATAAAATTAAAACTATAAAATAGGAAAGCTAACTACTTAAACATAATTTTGTTTTTAGAATGAGTTTGATGGGTTTTAAATTATGGACTGTTGAACTGTTTATCAGAGGCCATTTTGTGTGTGTGTGTGTGTGTGTGTGTGTGTGTGTGTGTGTATGTTCTGTAGTTAATGGGAGTTTACTTCTAATTGTCTAGACCCTTACAGTGGTTTCACCCAATTTCTGTGGCTCACAGAAGCTGCTTACTGAATTCTTTCTGGAGCTCATCTAATGAAGCATCTCACTTTTCACGTATAGGTCTTTTTATGCATATTACAGGTGTCTATAGTTAAACTGGAAGCCCCTTGAAGGTAAATACCACGACTTAGACATTTATGTAGCACTGTGTCCAGAATAGTATCTACGGAGTAGACATAATTATGAAATTATTGTGGGTAGTAGCTTTCATATGGATACAATAATTTTGTATCAGAAAAATCATTAGGCATTAATGCATTTCCTGTCAGACTTAATTAAACTTTAATAGGTTCTGAATGAACTGTTGTTTTCTCTTTTGGTATTCAAATCTGGATGATGTATGATTCTGTAGATGCTACAAGTGTTATCTTAAAGTACATTTTCACTTTGGAAATTTATTGTTTTACAAGCAAAGAAAGTATTGCACAAAATTTTTTAGTAGAACTTTTATTAGATCAATTGTAAACATATTAAATACGAACTTTAAGTTTAGAAGTGGACCCCAGAACTACTTCTCTCCTTCTTCTGATACTTTTTCTTCAATGTATTACTTAAAATATCTTTATTAAGATTTGTCTGTCTTGATTTAAAGATTTGGGACATAGGAGGACAACCCCGATTCCGGAGCATGTGGGAAAGGTACTGCAGAGGAGTCAATGCCATTGTGTAAGCACTTTTTAAAAAGTCAACTTTGGTTTCCAGGAAAAAAGTTGTTTTTAATACTTCCAAAGGCTCAGTTTTTATTTCATGCAATTAGTAGTCTTTCTATTTTCTTAGTGTAATCCCATTAATATGAAACTTTAAAAAAATTAATCATGAATGAGAATTTTATTTATGTTTTTGTTTATGCAACCAAGAGCTAAGGAATGTAAGTGTTTTATTATCATGTATTAGCACCTAAGTATAGTCTGTTTGAAAGATTTTTGGGTACTGAGCTTTTCTTTATCTAGGTCTTTGTTTTGATCAACGATTTCAGTAGTGTGAGTCATTTTTTAAAAGTTTATTTAAGTAATCTTTACACCCAATGTGGGTCTCAAACTCATGACCCCAAGATCAAGAGTTGCATGCTCTTCCAACTGAGCCATCCAGGTGCCCCTTAGTAGTGTAAATATGAAAATTAAAAAAAATCTGTATTTTTAATTGTGGCCATCAGAGGATTTGGAGAAGACATATCAAAATTGCTTTTTCTTAAGTTACATGATAGATGCCGCAGATCGTGAAAAGATAGAAGCCTCTCGAAATGAACTACATAATCTTCTAGATAAACCACAGTTACAAGGAATTCCAGTAAGTATGGAGTTCTTATTTTATATTATATGATGGTAATGTTTATTATTAAGATTATAATTATATGATTATATTATATTTGAAATCAGCTATTATGTCTTAAAGTCTTAAAACACTTATCTTTACTGAATATTAGCCATATACTGGACTGGGCACTGTGCTATTTATTTATTTCTTAGCCAGCTATATATTAGACTATCTGCAATAGAAGCAATGCTCAGTCCTGGGGATACAGTGATGAACAGAAGTGAATAGAAATATGCTCACTGCCATCATGAAGCTTGTGGTTTAGTAAGAAAGGTAGATGCCATGAAATCATTTGAATAATACAGCTCTGTTAAGTACTATGAAGGAGAGGTACAAGGGGCTGCGAGAGTTGTAAATTAAAAGGGATATTTGATCTAGTTTGAGGGAAGATCTACAAAGGATTCCCTGAGGAAATGATGCTTGAACTGATTTTTTTTTTTCTTTAAAGATTTTGTTTATTTATTCATGGAGAGACAGAGGCAGAAACATAGGCAGAGGGAGAAGCAGGCTCCATGCAGGGAGCCTGATGTGGGACTTCATCCCAGGATCACCACCTGAGCCAAAGGCAAACGCTCAGCCACTGAGCCACCTAGGTACTCACTTGAGCTGAATTGTGAGGGATATGTAGACAAAGGCCTTTTGGTAGGAGGAAGCAAGGCACTGAGAGGAGGCCAGTCTCTAGAGCATACAGCAAAGTAAGAGGGTGGGGAGAGTGGTGAAGCCATGTGGCAGTAAGGATCCTAGAGGAGACTGGGTATGGACTGTGTGGGAAAGCTCCTGTAGTGTTATAAAGCTTTTTTTCTGAAGGATTTCTTTTCTTTCTTTCTTTCTTTCTTTCTTTCTTTCTTTCTTTCTTCTTTCTTTCTTTCTTTCTTTCTTTCTTTCTTTCTTTCTTTCTTTTCCTTTTCCTTTCCTTTCCTTTCCCTTTCCTTTCCCTTTCCTTTCCCTTTCCCTTTCCTTTCCTTTCCTTTTCCTTTTCCTTTCCTTCTTCTTGATCTTATTTATTTCTTAGCACACTTGGGTGGGAGAGGAACAGAGGGAAAGAGAGAAGCAGACTCTGCCCTGAGGTTGGAGCCCCACACAGAGGGGGAGGGAAGGATTGACCTCATGACCCTGAGACCAGGACCTGAGCCAAAATCAAGTCTGACACTCAACCATTCAAACCAACTGAACCACCCAGGCACCTTACTGTTGTAGTGTTTTAAATGATCAGATTTATTATTTAAGTCATTCTGATTTCAGATTAAGAATGGATTGAAGTGGCAAATGGGACTGTAAGGATGGCAGTGTTAGGAAGCTGTTGAAGTTGTGCTGACAAATTACCATGGATTAGGGTGTTGGTAGTGGACAAGATGGTGAGAAAAAAACAGATTTTAGGGATATTTAGGAACACTGTCCACCAGACTTGGTGGGAGAGGAGATCTAAAGAATAATTCCTAGTTTCTGGTTCATGAAGTTAGATGGAAGGTGGTGCCATTTGTTGAGCTGAAGAATGCTGGAAAAGGACCAGTTCATGAATGTCAAATACTTGAGGTGTATTATCACATTTAATTCTTACGGCATAATGAGGTTCGTGGTTATCCCTCCTTTCTAACACTTGTTCTTCAGGGTTACATGGCAACATTAGTATGTTGTGCATCCAGATTTCGAATCTATGTCTATCTGACTTCAAAGTCTATTCTTTTTCTCCTGTGTTAGGACCTAGTTCCTAGTTCTATATACCTGCCATAAGTAAAAATCAGGGATGCCTGTGTAGCTCAGCGGTTGAGCACCTGCCTTCAGCCCAGGGCGTGATCCTGGAGTCCTGGGATTGAGTCCCACATCGGGCTTCCTGCAGGGAGCCTGCTTCTCCCTCTGTCTGTGTCTCTGCCTCTCTCTGTGTGTCTCTCATGAATAAATAAATAAAATCTTAAAAAAAAAAAAAGTAAAAATCAGTCTTACCTTATGGACACCATAAGTCTTTTAGTTGCAAGCAATAGAAAGCTGACTTCAGTAGAAAGGAATTCAATGAAATAATATTGGGTAGCTTCCAGGGTCTCTGAGAAGGCTGCAAATAAGTAGGCTCGAGAAATAGGCTGGAACAAGGAAGCTAAGCAGCTGTCAGGGTCATATCCAAACTCCCACCACAGAGTAAGTCTGGTTACCACATGCAGTTTCTGAACACTAGACACAAATTGTTCTGATTGGAAGGTCATCTAGCTGATTGATTTCCTTTCCCTATCAAAATGGGTTCTCTTGGGGATCCCTGGGTGGCTCAGTAGTTTAGCGCTTGCCTTTGGCCCAGGGTGCGATCCTGGAGTCCTGGGATCGAGTCTCACGGCCGGCATGGAGCCTGCTTCTCCCTCCTCCTGTGTCTCTGCCCCTCTGTCTCTCTCTCTGCCTCTCTCTCTCTCTCTCTCTCTGTCATTCAGAAAGAAAGAAGGGAAGGAAGGAAGGAAGAAAAAAGAAAAGAAAGAAAAAGAAAGAAAGAAAGGGTTCTCTATCCTGCTTTCTTACATCACTGACTCTTCATTGAAAAGTTTGGTTCATTCTAGATTATATGTCCATGCTCTTTTAGAAAGGAAAGCTAGGGAAAAAATTATCCATTGAACCAAGTAGCTTCATTGGGAGGCAGGTTCATAAGGTAGGAGGAGAGTTCTTAAATGTACTAAGAGGGCTAAAATGCCAGGCATCCCCCAAACTGACAGCTGATCACAAATGACTGTGATAATTATTTTTAGAAATTCAGGCAGATCCAGCTTGAGAACCTAGTGTGACTTAAATAAGTATGGAGGGGGTGAAAGTTGGGGAAAGGGAGACAGGCTGTGGTTGAACATTCTCCTGTGAGCTCCCAGTGTCCTCAGCTCTCTGTGCTTCAGTCCTTGTCTCTTTGTCCTTTGTGCAAAGTAAGAGTCTAGGTCTTATAAGTAGAATCCGTCAAAGTGTATGGAGTAGGGGTGTATTAAGTGAAAGAAATAGCTGTGGCAAGGTAGACATGACATGTACTTTGTTGAGATGGATCAAAGATTACATGTTCTTAGAGAACACTGACCTTAGAGTATGGATATTCTCAAATACATTATATGTACTCATATTCTTTGTTTTCTATACAGCAGAAAGAACATACCTGAGAAAGAAAGGGTGGTAATTGGGAAGCTGTCTCTGCTTTCCTTTCTTTTCAAATGACATCTCACAACCAGATGATGACATTAATTCATTCCTAGAGTTTATTACTACTATATTTATCCTGATCTCCAGACTTAACCATTGTCTTAGAATATTTATGCATGACATTCTATAGGATGGATCAATTTTAAAAGCATGTTTATGTGTTTGATTAATGGCTAACAAAAAATGATTAAAAAATTATTCCCCCACTTTGGTTGTGTTAAGATCATAATTACATTTTGGTACAGATTTATTTAGAAATTTCAGAATGCATACCATAGACTTAAAATAATTTAAATAGAAGTTGGCAGCCACATTGAATTAAGTCATCTGTGTGGTAGAAGTTAAAATGAACGCTAATTTGAATGATTAAATAAATGAGATAGCCCACCAGTTACAAATATGCCTCAATATTATGGCATGTGGTAGCATTCCAATTTTAATGTCTACAAATATGACTATCATATGCTTCTGTGACCTTTTCCTACATAAATGTTTATTGTTAATATCTCTTCTTTTTAAAGGTACTAGTACTTGGAAACAAGAGAGATCTTCCTAATGCCTTGGATGAGAAACAGCTAATTGAAAAAATGTATGTCTTAGGAATGATGATGTTTTAAAAAACTTTTTTCTAAATTAGACTTTTTTGCCCACTACTTTGTTTAGCAACATTATATTATTATTTTTTAGAGATTTTATTTTTAAGTAATCTCTATACCCAACATGGGGCTCGAATTTACAATCCTGAGATTGAGTCATATACTCTTCTGACTGAGCCAGGCACTCCTGTTATTTAGTAATGATTACAGCCATGTTTTAAGGTAAACATGGTAAATTTGGCCTACCAGTGAAGTGAATTTCTAAAATTTTAGTAGTAGTAAAATAATTTCTTCAGTGTAAAAATATAAGAAAATTGAACAAAGAGTGATAGGTATGATAGTTGTTTTAAGCACAGACCTTATTCTCTTAATTCTGCTTCTTATATAGGAACCTGTCTGCTATTCAGGATAGAGAAATTTGCTGCTATTCAATTTCTTGCAAAGAAAAGGATAATATAGGTAAGAAATGACTGTGGAAAAATGGATATCACTGGAAGGGATGTCTTAGTGCTTCTTACTGTTTATTATCCCCATTTCTGTTTAAGTGACTTCCTTTATACAGGACTGTTGTTTTTGCCTTAGGAAAAAGAATAGATATTATATCTTTTGACAGCAAATACAACATCCCGAATGTGCTCTATGTTATTTAAAGTAGTAAGTGAAATAGACATGAAGTTAAACATTATGTGATATCAATTTATTGTATTAATTTTGGCAGAGCTAGTATCCAGCTGTGCTTTATAACAAAATTATGTTTTTGAGAAAAGACTTTACAAAAACAATTGTTCATTTATTCAACCAGTATATTACTGCAGTATGTTAGTGCTCTATTGGAAGAATAAGCCAAAAGTATCCTTTATCTATTTAATGTCTGTGTTAATTTCCTAGAATAGCCTTGGCAAAGTATCAAAACTGGGTGGCTTAAAACAGCAGAAATTTATTTTCTCAAGTTCAGGAAGCTAGGCGTCCAAAATCAAGGTGTCAGCAGGGCCATGAAGGCTGTTGGGAAGTATCCAGCTTTGCCTTTTCCTAGCTTACTCTTTAACATACAGATACTTCACTGCAGTTTCTGCCTCTGGCTTCACATAGCCTTCTCCTCCATGTGTGTCTGTGTGTGTGTGCGTATTTTCTCTTCTCATAAAGATCCATATCCTTGGATTAGGGCCTACCTTCATTCAGAGCAACTTCGTCTTTTATCTGTAAAGACAATTTCTGAATAAATTCTGAGATTCTGAGTAGGAGTGAATTTTGAGGAGACATCATTCAATCCAATACAGTGTCCTTAAAGAATTTAAGTATAAGAGCCTTTAGTTTCTTAACTAATTTGTGAGAGATTATTTAATAAAAGTGGATTGGAATGGGTGAGATGGGTCCAAAGGTAAAAAGGAAATATGAATAGAAGCATTTGACAAGATGAAAGGCTATTTAACCTGTTAACTGCTTGAGTGAAAAGACCTATAACAGTGCAAGAAAATATACTCACTGGTAAAGTATACCTTCATGACAAAAGCTAGTCAGGCTGAGTCACACAGTTTTTGTCTGGCATGACAGTCTCAACCAAAATGAGAAAAGAGAGTTTAATGCATGTACCTTGAAGCAACTGCATAGGAGCCTGGAGATTTTCATGGCACCTTTACCTCTCCCAGTTTAGTGGTCACTGGTGAAAAAATCGCTCTGTGGGTCACTATGGAAAAATGAGGCTGTCCATCATTGCTGCATAATGGGCTACAAACAGCATGGGCCTTGGGGTCAGGCAGCCTCAGGCCAGAACACTTGGTCCTAAGTTATTTTCTGACTGGCCTTGGACAAAGCACTTAACCTCCCTGATCTCCAGGTTTTACTCATCTATAAAATGGTAATAGCAGCAGTTTAAAAATTATCTTGTGAGAGGGAACCTGAAAATGAATTGCAGCATTTGACATATGATGGATGTCACATGGGTGTATTAGTTTTCTATTGCTGCTGTCAGTTAGAAGTCTGTCATGGTTCTCACTGAGCTAGAAATTAAGGACTAAGGTGATAGGTTGTGCTCTTTTTGGAGATGCAAGGAGAGACTCCATTTCCTTATATTTTTCAGCTTTTAGATACTGCTTGCATTCTTGGCTTATAGCTCCTTCATCCATCTTCAAAGCCAAAAACACCATTCTACCATAGTCATACCTCCAATTAAAAAAAAAAAAAAACTTGTATTGGAGTAAAATGTAATAAATAGTGCCAAAACAGTGTGCTTAGAAGGTTTTTTTTTTTTTTTCCCCTTAATTTTTTTCCCCCATTAGCCTTCATTCAGTGTGTATTGGTTCTGGTCTATCAATTCTTTCCCCACCCCTCCTCAAACATGCTCTGATGGGCTCAGAGTATTGATAGTTTTCTGGCTAATTCTGGGCTTCCTTTATTTATTTTATTTTATTTTATTTTATTTTATTTTATTTTATTTTATTTTTTTATTTTATTTTATTTTATTTTATTTTATTTATTTTATTTTATTTTATTTTATTTTATTTTATTTTATTTTATTTTATTTATTTTATTTTTTATTTTATTTATTTTATTTTATTTATTTTTTAAAGATTTTATTTTTAAGTAATCTCTACACCCAATGTGGGGCTTGAATTTAACAACCTTGAGATCAGAAATCACAATCTCCATTCCCTGAACCAGCCAAGCATCCCTGAGTTTCCTTAAAAGAGCACCCAAAAGCAATCTGAGCCTAGTACTTTGCTTATGGACACAAAATCTTCTCTAAATGAATAGAATAAGTAACTTGTTACATTGTAAGCATTTAGTTAATTTGAAAATAGACTCTTCAAGCACTAGGGTTATTTAGAATTTATTTAACAAAATTTTCCTTCTGGGACACCTGGGTGGCTCATTGGTTGAGCGTCTGCCTTCGGCTCAGGGCGTGATCATAGGATCTAGAATCGAGTCCCATATCGGGCTTCCTGCATGGAGCCTGCTTCTCCTTCTGCCTGTGTCTCTGCCTCTCTCTCTGTGTCCCTCATGAATAAATAAGTAAAATCTTTGAAAATTTCCTTCCTTTGTTAGGAGGAATTCTTGTTAAGTTTTGTGTCTTTGTCTTACTACCTTGACAAACTAGCCAGATACTTTCCTGAAAAAAATCTTGTGAGCTCATTTAGGAGGTAAATGCAGGAGAGCTGGTGAGGCTGATCTTCATGGTCTGTCATAGGGCTCCATAGTCACCAGTTTGTGATTGTAGAACTCCTGCTTTGTTTAGTTTCAAGCCCAAGGAAGTAGATCTACTCTAACTAGATTCAAAATGAGTAGTTTGTAAATCAGAATGCCTGTTAATTTGGAGCAAGAAATACAACTAACAGCCAAGTAAATTAGACTTCTTGGGTAATCAAATCAGAATATCCTCCTTAATTTCAGCTTTTACAACATATTTTGGAACTAAATTTATGAATTTACTAAATTGTCCCAAAAGTATCTCCATGCACATGGGTTGTATATTCTTCCAGCTTCCCAGTGTGGTATATGAAATACTTTGGTAATGTGTCCTCAAACCACACATAGAACAGATTACTTCTGTGAACATGATCTTTGCAAAGATGACTCATACTTGTGGCCCTTTATGTCATGGAAGATGACTGCTTCATCTGAGTATCTTACTTCTTTTCTGCTTTTTAATCTAATCTTAAGGATCCATCTGTCTTTAGGATGTAACTTCTGTCCAGTGTCCACAAGTTTTGTTTTTGTTTTTGTTTTTTTAAGTGAATTTCTTAAATATTTAAATCTGGGCATTTCACTCTTAGATTTACCTTTCCCTTTACATACCTTTACATTCAATTCTAATGAATGTAGCTTTGCTCTTACTACGTACTGCTGTCCTTTTAAAAGTACACATCTGGTTCAGCAAGCAGGTTAATTCATTGCTTCCACAACTCTGAACAGATTGTGTTTGTTCAGATCTCAGCTCTTGGCTGAGATTCTTCATATGTGTGTCTATTTTCTGTAATGCATATTAGCTGGGAAACTGAATTTGCACTCATCTTTCAGGCTTGGAGAATAGAATGCTACTTCTGGTAGATGCTCACATACCCTTTACACGGATGACACATTTTAAAGAACTCAAGGACAGTAATTCAATGTTTTCACTTAGCTTCCTTCTCTTGTCAGTCTAAGTGCTTTTTTTGACTGATCTCTGCTACGGTAGCTTCAGCTGCCACCTCTTTGGTGACATCTTGCTAGTCCCCATCGTCTTCTGAGATCCATGTAGCTAAAACTACCTGTTGGACATCTCCATACGTGTTACTTTCTGCACCTCAAACTCAGTGTGTTTTACAGCTAAATTCTTAATCTTTTTTTCCTCAAGTCTGTTCTTCCTTTAGCCACTGTGTTTGTCAACATGACCAACGCAGGTCATTGAAGCCAACAGATTCTTTCTTACCCACTACATACTGTCAGTCTCTCTGTTCTATATCTTAGTCAACTCTGCATTTTCCTTCTACCATCGCTACAGCACTTGTTTGCTTCAGGCCTTCATCCATTTCCTATTCTTGTTGTGATAGTGTCTATACTGATAACTCCAAGTTGTCTTCCTCTATTGCCATTGTTAATCATACTAAACTAATCATTTCCTTGCTTAAAATTCTCCAGTAACTTCCACTTGAGAATAAAACTCAAACTTAGTAGCATCCTAGAGTGGTATATAGGGTTATTGGCTCTGTCTAGCCCATGGATCTCAGTTAAGGACATTTTTTGCTCCTCAGGACATTTGCAATCCCCTGGAGACATTATTGATTGTCACAATTGTGGGTGTGTGGGGGGAGTTATAGTGGCATCTAGTGGTAGGGGTCACAGATACTGCAAAATAGTCGGCCATGCACAGGAAAGGCCCTCATCCCTGTCCCAGCAAAGAATTACTTGGTCCAAAATGTCAAAAAGGTGAAATTGAGAACCCCTGCCTTAGCAATAAGTAACAGTCCCTTCTCCCATTCCTGTCCTTCATCCATATCTTATCACATATAATCCATCCAGATATCCACACCATTCAGGCCTTTGTTTCTTGTTTTTGTTTCCTTTGCCTGGAAATCTGTGGGGCACCCCTCCACCCAACTGCAAATGAGTTCTAGGTTTTTCAACTTTGATACTAAAAGTTCCTTGAAAGCAGGGGGATTCTTGTGTATCTTTGCATTCCTGGTACTTCACATACAGTACTGATCTTAACAGGCAGTCTGTAAGGTTTTCAATGTGAAAAAAAGGTGGTACAAGCTGTCCTGAGCATAATTTAACTTTTAGGTCAGAGACTCTTTAGTCTCAATTCTTTAGAATGTCCTCTTGAAGTTTAGGTAATGGAGGATAGTAGTTTAGATGCAGAAAAGCAGAAGAGGGCAGGCCCACCCAGCATGTACTTTGAAGTAGCTGCATTTTAAATACTATGTCTGTTTAGTGTCTTAACTTGGTATCTTAACGCCTTCAATTTTTTTCCCTCCATCTTTAGATATCACACTTCAGTGGCTTATTCAACATTCAAAATCTAGAAGAAGCTGAAGCATCTCCTGAAGTCTTCCAGTCCTTCCTGGCTATAATTCTAGAATTATTGTCCGTTCCTCTGAAGTACTTCCCAGAATACGGTCCTTCCTAAACCCAAGAAATTGCCTTTTTCAGAGTTTATTTCTCCTGTGCACTGCTGAAGATGTGTATCCCTTATCCTTCATAAAGAATCAGCTAGAGTTGTCATGATAAAGTCAGCACACACACAAAAGCTTCTTATACATACTTGTCTTAAACAGTGTGTAGAGCTTTTTTTTTTTTTTTTTTTTTAAGAAAACACCCATTTGACCATCTTAAATCAAGAAAATTGCATATTTCTGTTTTGGTCTTTTTGGGCCAGATTTTTATATTGGTTTTCAGTAAATGTCTATGATATTTCATTATAGAGTCCATTAGCTTAATACTGATACTGACTTGATACAGCATGAAGTTTCTAGTGCCACACACAGTATTTAGAAAACCTTTAGCCTGACTCATGTGGGATATAAACAAAATGTTTACATATCTCACAAATGCATGTGAAATGTATAATTACACCTTAGGAATTTAAAAAATGGTCTGCAAAGAGCGAGCGGAGGCACCAGATCAGTGTTGTTATTGGTTCTTTAGACTGGTGAGATTATATATGAATTTTAAAAACATTCTGCTTTCTGAGAATTCTTCATCACCAGATAGCAGTTGGGGATATGGGAGGAACTAAGGCATGCTGTTGTGTATCTGTCCAGATCATTATTTCTCTATTTTCCTTCTTTTCTTTTCTTTTCCTTTCTTTTTCTTTCTTTCTTTCTTTCTTTCTTTCTTTCTTTCTTTCTTTCTTTCTTTCTTTCTTTCTTTTTTTGGTGTGTGGGGGGGCAGGGTTCAACACACTTTTTTAAAGGGTTGGGAAGGAAGATTTTCTCAAAGGCTTTCATGAATTTAGAGCATTCCAGCCAATATAATAAAATGTAAAGGATGTCAGACTTTGTTCAAACACCTGTTTGTTCTTTCTATCTCTAGTCCTTAAATCAGTGCTGCTGCATGACACTCTAACTCTTGACTTTTTATATCCAGTCATAGACTTTCAGCACAATAGATACTTAGAAACAAATAAAAATTCTTATTTTTCTCTCTTATTGATGTAAAGTTTGGCACTCTTTTGTCTGGTGCCATTAGACATCTTGATTATTGTGACAACTCTAGACCTGCCTGCTCTATCTAATGTAATCATGCGCAACGTCTACAGGTTGTTTAATAATCAATCACATGGAGAACTGAGGAACTGATGCTGTGTATTGTTTGCTTCTATGATACGGAGATGTATAAAAACTAAAAAACGAACATGTTTTGTAGTTTAGTGATGTCCATATACACAAAGGGACATATTAATACTGGTTCACTTGTAAATTGTTATTCACATAAACCACTGTAGTAGATAAAACTTTATGCTACACCCGCTTATGTGTTGCCTCACACTGTGTGTGATTTTGTTCCTTTTGTTAAGCAGCACTCATGTAGACAGTGCATTTCCAAACATGTTGAGCACTCAAAAGTGCAGTCAACAGTTAAGTTCTTTTAATGAATACCAGTTTTAATTTATAGACTGCCATGGCCTTAACAATATTCTGTACAAAATACTGCACTGTGTTGCACAGATACTACTTGGTTTTCCTCCATTCATATTTTTATGAGTAGAATCTCAGCTTTTAAAATTCTGTTCTTATTCTTTGAAGCATGTTGCATACTTCCCTGATGGGATGAATGGTTCTGTAAATGAAGGGATATTTAAACTTGCTACCGTAGTTCAACATCATTAATGGTTACCATGAACCATTACAAATAATGTGGCAATCTGCTCGTGCCTAAAAGGAGGAATTGGAACTAAAATGTGTGACTGTGTGGGGACCGCATAGGTTCATTAATTGACCTATAGCTAAAACTTAATGTGTTTCTGTGTCTGTTCATTGCTTTCAGCATTCAAGACATCCAAACTCTATTACCAACATTTTCCTGTGCATTAACTTCTGCATGTGAAAACCTAACAGTTACTGAACTTTGTAAATACGTGAATTTTTTTTCTATTTAGGTGATGCATTTTTTTTTGTCTGTTTACTGCTCTTCTCAGCTTTATTCAATAAACTTGCATTTTGAGGGTTGTATTGACAATTTTAACTTAAAATGTGCATCATGATGGAAGGTGCTGACTTTTTTTGGAAGGGGATGGGAAGAAAGTTACCATGAGCAAGGTCCATAGACATTGTGCTAGAACGAAATCAGCTCATTTCTCAAAGAATTGGGGCTACTGGCTAGTTAAAATAGAAATAAACTTTTAAAATATCCACAGATTGATATTGCGATTTTTTTTGGGGGGACAGGGTGGAAGAGATGCTGTTGCTTGCAAGCTGTCATGATACACCAAATTTAGGACTTACAGAAGTGGCAAGAGCTAGTTAGGCATTTTTTATAATCTATTTGTTTTAAAAATTCTAACAAAAATCTAATAAACTGAAAATTGCAAGGCAGGCCTATTTACTGACTTTAGTTCCAGAATGAAAAGATCTTAAATAATCGAACATGGCGGTTTTCCTACAAAAGCATATTTTTAAAGTAAAGCCATTTGGCCTACTTTACATGTTATCTTTTGCATTATAAAAGTGAACACTTAGTTCATCAGAACTATTGTAGAAATGATTTTATAGTTTTAGTCAGGAAAATTCAACTTGGTTTTCTCTCTATATGCGTACTGTTACTCTGTACAGCCAGACCTTGTTGTCCAATTAGATGTGTGATTTAGCATTTCTAGGACAGAAGTCCCTAGGATATCCAGTTTCATTTCTTGTATGGAATTAGTGGAGACATTTAGTCAGACAGTTAACTCGGTTCTCTTCTCCTCACCCTCCTACAAATGACTTTTGAAGGAGTGTGTAAGTCAGGGGAGGGAGTGGGCGGGGTGGATATAAGTTTAGCTTACTGTATCCTTGATTTTAAGTTTATTACTGCTTTCAAAAATGGAGACTTCTAAAATCCCTTTGATTCTGTCAAGTAAATTGGATATATTGAACTGTGGCTACTTTAGTATTCATTGTTTTGACTGAGGAACTAACTGCCTCTTGTAATTCTATCCATACAGGATCCAGTTACACTGAAATCCTGTTGATTCGGTAATTCCAGCCTCATGGTCTGGCATTGTGAGAACTGGAGGGGAAATCTGAATTCAGTAGCCAGTATTGTAATGTAACATCCACTTGGCCACATACTTTACTTTAAAAATGCCATCGCGGGGATACCACCATATTGAGTATTTGAAATATTTTATTCTCTCACAAACTTTAACTGTTGTGCCCTCAGCAACGTATATGCCTGCGAAAATACTTGAAAACAGTAAAGCAAACACTAGTCTTCTTGCCAACTTCCCTTAAGCTTGCAGTTCTACAATATGTGGCCCACTGCAGGTGTTTCCTGTTGATTAGTAAATAGCCTCCACATAATTTCTGTTTAACACTCAGCTATTAATAAAAATGGGTGCTTTTTAAATTGCTGCTTCTTGACTGTTCTTAGGGAAATAGAAGCAGGTCATTGACATGCTAGATAGATTGCAAAGGGAAGTTCCTTAATCTAAGCAATAGCAGTAGTCATTAATTATTCCATTTCATTAACAAGCCCTTTCTTCAGTAAGGTAATTTCTATTTTAAAACTGCAAGGCAGCTGGTAACTTAGGTAATGCAGATATCCTAGTAAGAATTAGAGGGGGAAAGGTATTTAACTTCTTTTGTTGGGGCTTGTAAGTCTTATATTCATAAAAGGAACGGATGTGGTAGGAAAATAGTTTGTCATTTTAAAATACTAATGTAGTTTGGCTCTGTCGAGAGTGCTGGATTGACATTTGAGAAAATGGGTCCCTTTCTTTGTTATTAACTGATTGTGTGAGGAGTTGCTGAATCCCCTCTGGCTCTGCACTTTTCCTAACTGTAAAATGAAGAGTAGATGATTCCTAATGTATTATCTAACAGACTATGGTGTTAGCAGCCAAGAGATGTGGATGGTGGTAAAACAGCAGAGAAGATAGATGAAAAGGCCCACTTGTCCTAGTGAATATGTTAACTTTGCATGTTTTTCAGCTTGGAAATAATCGAAAAGCAATCCAAAAATGTAATATTTACATTTTATCACTTTAACACAGTTAAGGGCTGGAGATCACAGACATTTCACAGAATGATACAATAACTTAGATTTTGTTTGAAGGAAATGCTGTAATAAATACAGGCTTATATTTTGAAAGGCATTTAAAAATTTTAAAGCATTTCTCCCAGACTGCAGAAAAATGTTTATTCTGGTATACAATGTGGAAAAATATGTAACCTACTACCAATTTGGGGGTCAACTAGAGCTAATGTTTAACACTTTATAACTGCCATGTTACCGGGTTCTGCTAGAATTTATTTGGAGCCTGGAGAAAACTTAGAGCAGTTAGAAAATACTGCTTTTCAAAGTAATGAGAGGGAAAGAAAACCCCCTATAAAATCAATGTATTCCCTCTTGAACATGGGAAATAGAACATTAATAGATTGCCAATTATGGTATTTCCTCCAATCAGCTTTTATATAATTTACAGCTTTGACCTACTCTCAGTTTTTGTTTTTTTAAGATTTTATTTATTAATGAGAGACACAGAGATTGAGGCAGAGATACAGGCAGAAGGAGAAGCAGGTTCCATGCAGGGAGCTCCACGTGGGACTTGATCCTGTGACCCCAAGACCAAGCCGTGGGCCAAAGGCAGGGGCCAAACCGCTGAGCCACCCAGGGATCCCCTACTCTCAGTTTTGTACTGTCTGTATCACACAATTTGATATCTTGTTTCTACATATTAAAAGTCACCATTACTATCTACTGTTACCCAATATTTGAATTAACTCCTTTTTCCTATTTGTATCATTTTCTAAGGAAAAAGAAATTGTTAATATTTATCATACCACTAACTGATTTATGAAAGCACAAGCTGTCCTCACCCTTCAAAGAAGGTTAAGAGTTTTTATGATGCCTACTTTCTCTGGAAACATCAGTAACCTAAAGGGTGAGGCACAGCCTATGAATGGTGAATATTAATTCCTGATGGATAATCACTGCATTTGATTTAGTGGTATAGTAGTTAGAACAGAAAAGAAGCTTACCACTTTTCTTTCTGGGTTCCATTTATTTTTTGAATGATTTTTAATAGGTAAGTCACATGATTCAAAAATTGAAAATACCTAAGGAAACATGAATACTTGGTTCAACCCATGACTGAGTAACCACCCTTCCACCACCACTCTGGCCCTACAGGTAATCAATCCTTACATCACTTAATTTGTTTTTCTAGTGTTTATACAAAATGAAAAGCAAATAGAAATACATACACCTTTTTTTTAAAAACCACTTTCTTACACAGAAGGTAGCATACTAATTTGAACATGGCTTTTTTCCAGTTACTGTGTCCTAGCGATCTTTCCATATCAACATATAGAGAGTTCTTCATTCTCCTTCATAGGAGCATGGTTCCCATTTCATTGTGTATGTGCTTTTTCGCTGTTTGAGATTCCATAGTTTACCTAACTGGTCCCTTGTTGATAGACATTTGGGTTGCTTATAACCTTTTGCTTTTGTAACCAGTACTGCAGTGGATTACGTTAAGTTTGCCACAATTCACAGAAGCATATCTATGTCAAAGGGTAAATGGCTTTCTACTTAGGCTAGGAGTTGCCAAACTGCCCTTCACAGAGGATGTGCCAATTTTTATTTCTACCAGTTCCTGTCCCCTGTGCCTTGTCAGCAGTGTGTTAACAAGCTTCTGGATTTCTGCCCATTAAAAAGGTGGAAATGATTATATAATTTTAAACACATGAAGTTTGGCTTAATCAGCTGAGGAGACTATTTAATTCTGCAGTTAGATTTCCACCCAATTAATGTGATTATAGGTAATTTCCTCCTCGTCTCCCCCCTTTTTTTTTTAAATTTTTATTTATTTATGATTGTCACACACACAGAGAGAGAGAGGCAGAGACATAGGCAGAGGGAGAAGCAGGCTCCATGCACCGGGAGCCCGACGTGGGACTCGATCCCGGGTCTCCAGGATCGCACCCTGGGCCAAAGGCAGGCGCTAAACCGCTGCGCCACCCAGGGATCCCTCGTCTCCCATTTTTTGCATCTCCCCTTTGCTTAAGTCTCCCTCCCCTCGCCTTTTACAAAGCAAGTATATAATGCTTCAGAAAGAAGCAATACTGTTTTAAAAGTCATCATTATGTCATTTGTTTTACATTATTGCTTTGGATAATTAGAGCAGAAAAATCTTCCTTTTAATAGACTTTTTTAACCCTGATTTAACATTGGAATCTCTGGGAGTACCCTTATATCCTTTGAGGTCATTATAGGGCCACAGCTCTTTTTTGGCTTTGTAGTTTTAGGAACCGACTGCACTGATTCACTCAGACTCACAAGATTGATTCCGAAAACTGTAATGTCCTATTTATTTACAGTGGTGGATCTCTTTTTAAAGGCACCAAAATACATCTCCTAGGTCACTTCCTTCAACTATCAAAGTAAGAGGGAGATTGACTTTGGATTGCCTTGTAGGATATAATTCCAAATTACAGAAATTTAGGATCATGAGGTATAGAAGCTGGAACAGGTTAAGTAGAACTGATATTAGACATGAGGATTCAAAGCTCTTTCATCTGGTCTTGGACTGTGGTGAGTTTTAGTCCGTGTCCTGTCTTATATTTGGTTTCTTTAGACATTTTTTTCCTAAAATAGTGCTTTGATAATAGGAGAGGCTTACTTGTTTAATTCATCCAACAAACCTCCGGTTCAAATGTACCAGGTACTTTGACTAATGCTGGTCAGTTCACAGAGTTCATGAGTAGTAAGAATAGGGTTCACTATGGAACACTGTTGTAGGTACGCTGTATATATTGAATATTTCAGTTCTCAAAACTGCCATATGCTCTAAGGACTGTTCTTATTACCCTCATTTCACAGATGGGAAAACCAGGTCTAGAAAAGTTACTTCCCAAGGTCACTCAGGCCAGAGCTGTGATTTGAACACCTAGCAATTGGGCTTCTCGGGCTGGGTTCTTAGTTGTCATCTCTTTGGTGTCCCCTAGAGTGAAGCCATTTTTACCATAGAACATGAGACTGTGCAGAAAAGCCTATCAGAAAACTGTTTCATACTTGATTTTTAAGGTTGAGATTTTCTTATTAGAGGGGGGTGTTATCCCAATCTTAGCAGCCACATTTACCTTGAGGGGAGTCCTAGGCTAATCTAAAAGACTAGCATAAAATAATCCATTTTCTTTTGGCTCAGTTTAATTCAAGATGAAACACTTTCTGAACCTGGCCTCTAACTCTTCGGCTGTGCCTAGCAGAGGCTAATGTCAATGATGCTGCCTTTGGAGTGGCTTAGGAAGAGTAGGAAAACCAGTCTTGATTTGCTTTGGGGGCTAGCTAGTTTTGATAGATTCTGCTAAAGTTCAGGAGACCTAGGTGATAGCTCTTTTTCTGGCTACAGTAAGTAGCTCAGAGAACTTGAGCCTTCCAACCTGATTTCTTCCCTTAGGGCTTGTGAATAGGCCTCACAATGCTTTCTGTGACGATTAAACAACGAACACATTTTGAAAACCGTAAGACATATACCATTGGCAGCTATTACCAGTTTTACCAGGAAAAGCATCTTTCAGAAGTTGGATGATTTTCTCTGGTTATGAAAAATCTGTTTTTATTTTGATTAGAACAAATGTCTCCATTTGTGAGAATAGGGGCTGTGTTAATGTGGACTGCCCTTGACAATGGTGCAAGATCAAATTTGAAACTTTAGAAATTTGCAATAAAATAGCTTACGAAGGGAACAACACATACCTTAATATTCGCATTCAGTTTGCAAGTTCTGGGAAGGCCGACCTGAAAGTCCAGGATCAAGCCCTAGGATTGGATTTCTAGCAGAGTTCCCAGCTGCCTGTCACAGAGAAGTAAAAGCAGAATCTTCGTAGGCAAAAGACCTTGGTCCAAGCTCTCTTTATACTCTTTAATGCTTGGGCAGGCCTATCTCAGGATTAGGCAGGGAGGAATAAGTCTCAGCCAACAAAAAGGGCCTTACTAGGTGCCAGTTACCTTGTGTCATAATAAAATGTTTTCTTTGGGCTCCTTCTCAGTCCCTGTTACACACACCTCTATGTTGCAAAAAGTCCCCTGACTCTGAAAATGTGAAGATTTTTGCCACATGACAACTTCATCATCCTCTTAATCACTCCTTTGGTCACTCAGCCAATTTCCGATTTGGGCCATCGCCATCAGGCTTTGCTTCCCAAGCTCTTCAGAAACCACGGTGTAACAAACACATGGTCTAAATTTGAGGGAACACGTTAACAGACATCTACAAATGTAGCAAACAAAACCCCTAAACTTTAGCTGAATCGTTACATGAGAGCCATAGCCCTTCAGAGCGGACATCTGCAACTTCCTTAATTATAGGAAGTAGATACAGAATGGGTAAAGTAATTTGACCAGGAATCCGTCCTACACCCCAAAGGTTAGGTCGCTACTGTGTTGCAGAGGAGACACAGTGGGAGTAGGAGGGGCGGGAGGGGACTATTATTGGTGGTAGCAGCAGCCTTGACTCTCCCTCTTCTCTCTCTCTCTCTCTCTTTTTTTTTTAAACTCCTATTCCTGAGACAAAAGCAATAGAATTTCCTGAAACTGCTAAGAACCGCCCAAGAGCACTTGTTACACACAAATTCCCAGGAACCTCCATCGGCTAGGTCTAGGACAGGATCTGGGAATATGGGTCTTACAGCCACAGTGAGCGATGCTTACAGATTAGGGTGTTCTGGTCAAAAGATACCTTTTTGCGCCCTCCGGAACTACAAGGTAGTATCCCATGCCCACTGTAAGCAGCGATCTGGCTAAAAACCCTGCCCTTAGCAATGCAAACGCAGCTCCTTGCCTACGGAATGCCCCTCTCCCTTCTCTCCCTTACGTCGTTTAGCTGGCAGCGTCCCCAACCCGGAGCTGGAGGGGCTCTCTCGCGCCCCGGCTAGGCTGGAGACGCGCTCTCCCCGGAGCCAGGCGGCTGGGGGCCGCGGCGCGGTCGGGTGTGCGGCCGGTGCTCCCGTGCCGCGCTCCCATTGGCTGCAAGTTTCCTCGCCAGTAGCCGGAGCGGCCCCTAGTCGCCACGCCAGCGGGTCCGGACTCCGCCCGCCCGCCAGGGGGCGGGGCCGGGCCTGGGGGCGGGGCGGGCCGGGCCTGGGGGCGGGGCCGGGGGCCGGGGCGGAGCCTCGCGGCGCTGCGGAAGTCCCGGCGGCCTATGGCGCAGGAGGGAGTCCCCGGCCGCGCCCCACGAGGCCGGCCCGGGCCGGGCCAATCCCGGGCGATTGGGCGGGCGGACGCGGGGCCGGGCCGGCCGGCCCGACTCGCCGCGGGTGGGGGACAATGGGCCGGTTCCTGGTGCGTCACGGGGGAGTTCCTTAAAGGGGAAGCGAGCGGGGCTGCGGCGCGGGTGCGGGGTGCGGCGGTCCGCGGGGCAGGCCCCCGCGCTTTAAAAGAATGCCCGCGGCGCCCGCGCGACCATGCAATGGCGAGCGCTCGTCCTGGGGCTGGTGCTCCTGCGGCTCGGCCTCCACGGAGTGCTGTGGCTCGTCTTCGGGCTGGGGCCCAGCATGGGCTTCTACCAGCGGTTTCCGCTCAGCTTCGGCTTCCAGCGCCTGAGGGCCCCCGACGGCCCCGCGTCGCCCGCCCTGGGGCCCGCCGGCCGGCCCGGGACGCCCGGGGGCCCGTCGGGGCCGTCGTGGCTGCAGCCTCCGGGCCCCGGGGCGGCGGCAGCGGCGGCGGCGGCGGCGGCGGGGCGGCGGCGGGGGCGGCGGCCGGAGCCGGCGGTGTGCGGCCCGGCGCACTGGGGCTACGTGCTGGGCAGCCGCGGCCGCGGCCCGGACGAGTACGAGCGGCGCTACAGCGGCGCCTTCCCGCCGCAGCTGCGCGCCCAGATGCGCGACCTGGCGCGGGGCATGTTCGTCTTCGGCTACGACAACTACATGGCGCACGCCTTCCCCCAGGACGAGCTCAACCCCATCCACTGCCGCGGCCGGGGGCCTGACCGCGGGGACCCGTGAGTAGCCGGCGCTGGCCCGACGGCCCGGCCGCGGCCGCGCCCGCGGGGGGCTGCAGCCTCCGACCTCGGGGTCCCCGGGCCACGCCCGCCCGCCTGTGCCGTGGCCCGAGGACCCCCGAGGACCCCGAGGACCCCGAGGACCCGAGCTCGGGGGCGGTGCGTGAGCGGGCGGGGCTGGCCTCATTCCTCCTCCTCCCGGCGTCTCCCAGTTCCGGGACAGCTGGCCAGCGGGGAAACTGAGGCTCAGACGGGGGGGGGTGGGGACAGCAGCAGCGCCGCGGGGTATCCTCGGGGGCTTTAGACTCTGACCTCCAGCACCCCCTTCTCCAGATGCACACGCGCACACACGCGCACACACGCGCACACACGCGCACACACATATAATCAAAATGAATCCCCTGTAAACGCAGCTCCACAACAAGCCCTCATGCCCGTCCCTAGCTTTTATATCTAAAAATTCGGGAGTTGATCCCGGGAAAGGACTTCCCCAAAGCCAGCCGGTGGCTGACCCAGGCAAGGCGGGGCTGCGGTCTCCTGTCCTTCGTTCACAGGCGCTGCCCCTTAGGCTGGGGATACTTACACGGGACGGAGGGAGGAGGGAGGGAGGGAGGGACAGGCTCCCTGGCCCCGATTTGGGGTCTGGACACTCAGGGCGTGATTCCTGGGCCGCGGCGTTGACTGTCACCATGATCTGCCCCATAAATTCCTCCACTCTGGTGGCGGGACCTCCCCTTCCACCAGCCTTGCCCGTGGAGGCCAAGCTCCCGGGGTCACCGCTGTTGACATCAGAGTCCAAGAGGACAGCACACCCAGCTAAGGGCCTTCCCGCTGCAGGGAATGGGTGCGCTCGGCCACCGACCTGTTGGACCGGATGGGTGACTACCCTCCTCTGGGCGGTGGCGGCGGAGGACGCGGGCTGCCCAGTGCCTTGGCCGCACGTCCTGTGGGTGCCTTTGGACTTTGGGGGGATGTATCTTCCTTCACCTAGCAAAAGGAAGAGTCCGGCCCTTAAATTCTGAAAAGGAAGCCCATTTACGTGTACTAAAGGGGCTTGAAGGATTTAGAAAATGGCTTGGTAATCTACAAAATCATATCTTAAATGGCAAATTGAGGAGCATGAGTTTTAGTGAAGCAGGCGGCATAGTCCAAGCTAGTTTCAAAGGACTGGGCCTTTTTTTTGTTGTTGTTGTTTTATTTTGTTTTTCCTAAAGAATTTTATTTATTTATTCATGACACACACACACACACACACACACAAGAGAGAGAGAGAGAGAGAGAGAGAGAGAGGCAGAGAGGCAGAGACACAGTAGGACACAGGCAGAGGGAGAAGCAGGCTCCATGCAGGGAGCCCGATGCGGGACTCGATCCCAGGTCTCCAGGATCACACCCCGGGCTTCAGGCGGCACTAAACCGCTGCGCCACCGGGGCTGCCCAGGACTGGGCCTTTTAAAAAACTGTAGGAAAGGAGTTATTTTCTCTTGCTTCACTATATCAAGGCTTTATGCATGTATTTTCTCATTTTTTTTTGAGAAAAAAATTTATTAAGATATTAGGAAATTAATGAGTTATTTGTTGGTATTTACCTGTACCAGACTTTATACCTATGTGTTTTCTTTTGATCTCATTTTTTGTTGTTATTGTTGGAGGAAAAAAAGATTAAAATTTGGGGGCCCCTGAGTGGCTCAGTGGTTGAGCCATCTGCCTTCGGCTTAGGTCATGGTCCCAAGGTCCTGGGATTAGTGTCCCTCATTGGACTCCCCACAGGGAGCCTGCTTCTCCCTCGGCCTGTGTCTCTACTTCTCTCTCTCTGTCTCTCATGAATAAATAAAATCTTTTTTTTTAAAAAAAAAAAAGATGAAAATTTGAAAAAATAAAAAAGCCTAAATCCCCACCAGACAGTTATTTTTAATTTATTTTTCCTGCCAGCTCCCGCCCATATGCCTACACATTTTTTACATAGTTGAAAACAAAGTGTGTGTACATATTTTGGATCTTACTTGTATTTTCTCACTAATGCTGATGGCATTACAGGGAGGGAGAGGATACTTTGAGTACGTGTCCTTATTCTCTCTCTGAGACTTTTACCTCAGATTTTCTTTTTATGGCCTGGACCTAACGAAAACAGTTTAATGAGGACTTGTGATAGTGCCTTCAGTGGGGAATATGGTGGTCAGGAGAGTGAGTTGATGACATTTGGATGCTTTTCTTCGTGAACCTTAGGACCTCTTGGGAGAGTTGGAGCCCCTCTGCTGCAGGTGACGTGGCAGTTGACTAACTTGCTTGTCCCTTTTGGTAGTTCCGGGTGGCTTAGACCTTTGTGGCAGGATGAAGTCTGCTGATGAGTGTTGTGGTCTGATTGTACAGTGGCGGTGTGGGTAAACTGAGGTCAGGTTGCTTTGAGAGAGAGAAATCGCTGTTGGAAAGATGGAGTTTGAAAGATAGCAGGGTCGTGTGAAGCCTTGTGACCCGAGGTTAATAATCTGTTTGGTGGATAAACCTTTGGGGTCTGTGAGGAGGTGAAAGAACTCAGGTTGGGGTGGCCTTGACTAGACCCTCACACAGGCTGCTTCCAAGAAGTGGAAAGGTTCGTTTTGTTTTGTTTTGTTTTGTTTTACTCCCCTTTCTTTAACTTAACTCCTTTCAGATTAGTATTTTCGAGGAAAGTTTACAACTAGACCTTTGTCATGCTGGCTCTGAAACAATAAGATATGTTTATATCCCCAAAACAAATAACCGGAAATAAAAATTTCTCAGATTTCCTTTATTTGTTGGATATCTTTTTTTTTTTTGGTAAAGATTTTATTTCCTTGAGAGACAGCAAGAGTGAGAGTGAGAGAGCACAGAGGGAGAGGGAGAAGCTGGCTCACCGAGCCTGATATGGGACTTGATCCCAGGACCTTGAGATCCTAAGCTGAAGGCAGACGCTTGACTGGACCACCCAGGGGCCCTATAGTTTTTTAGATTAAAAAAAAAAAGATCAAATGTATTTTAATGACAATTGTCAAGTGTATTCTAATGATGCATTTAAAATATAGAGTGACCTAATCATTAGAATATTATATAAAAAGTACAGAAACAAAATATGGGTGCTAGAGCTGTGTATCTTTTTTTAGTCACATTTATTTGAGGCTTGTCTTGCCTGTCTTGTCTGACTGTAGGTATGGTGAGGAGTTCATGTGACGTAAATGAAACCTGAACGCTTCAAAATAGCAAACTTTTCTGTCCAGCTACAGATTACTATGCAAAGTCAGTACTCTCACATCCCTAGTTTGGGTGGGAGGATCCAAGCTCAAAAGTTTCTCAAATGAATTTGGATATTATATTTTTTGTAATCTTGTAAATTAAAACAATAGTTCAAGACTTGGGCACACGATCCTTCTTTGCTTCCTCCCTAGCCATATTGCTGTTCAGGTAAAAAAGCAAATCTGTGAACAACCCCAACTGATGACTTGTCAGCAAGTCTGCCCATTCATCTTAGCTTAAGATGGCTTCCTGTGCATTCTTTCTAACATCCTGTCCCTCTTCAGAGTCAGACCTAAGTCTTTTTCTCCAATGCTATTGAACTTTTGAAGACGATTTTTCGTGGTCTACTTGGTTCTCCTTTCAGTTCCTTTCCTTGGAGCTACTGTTCACATTTCAACATCGCTTGAGAATTGAGTACTGTTGTGTATTCCTTTCCTTTTGTCTTGTCTCCCCAGATTATCAATCCCTTGACACAGAGACTGTTTCTTATATTACGTCTGTGTCTACCCAGCACCAGGTAGATTTCTGAACAGCTGGTACAGGTTAATTGTATGTGGGAGATTTTTTTTTTTTTTTACCATATGTTTGATTTTGTTAGTTACATAATCAAAAATTATCTCTGTCAAAGGTTGTAGCTTTTTCCAGCTCTGTTTTGGTGTAATAAGAACCTTACAGATTGACACTGGGGCAAATGTCATGAACGGTCACACATGGTAGATTAAGTGGAAAGTCTAATTCTGGGACATTGTGGTTCAGCCAGCTGGTGGTGTGGAAAGATGTGTACTTGTGAGCCTGGCCTTGTACTGGAAGATTAAGTTCTTGGCTTGAGGCACTTAGCAGCTACGAAGTCAGGCTGGCCATCCATCAAGAGTAGCTACAAGGAACAAGGCCACAGTCTTACCTACATTGTGGGCTTGTGTCAATGGAATCACAGTGATATGCTGCTGTTAGGCCAAGAGGGTTTTATGGAATCTACATTTCCCTTCACACCCCTCTTTCTTTTCTCCTTTCTATTTTGGCACATTTTGAAAGAGTATATAGCAATTACTTGGTAGAAGGTTATTGTTTTTTTACTGTGACATTTTTTACAATTGTTCATTATGAGTGGCTGCTTGGGCACTGTATTGAGAGGTGTTTTAAAACTGGGTCCATTTTACTTATAGCCTAAAGGGAGAAGTACAGTAAAACATGTGAAGGAGTGCAGCGATTAAAATTTGCGTACTACCTTCCAGGGGCCTTTGCAGTGGGAGAGGGTGACCCTGGCCCTGACGAGGTTACAGCTCAGGAGAGGGCAGCTCTGTGTGTCTTACACATCCTCCAGGTTGGATGCGAAGTGGTGGGGGAGCCATTTTCTGATGAGGTGGGTCATTGGAACCCACTCTGCTCTGAGCTGCAGAGCAGTGCAGTTAAATATTTAAACCCAACAGAATGTTCTCGAGTTGGCAGACTTGAGCGTGACATCTCTGTGTCTACTTTGACCTCCTTCAACTTCAGGCATTTCCTGTATCCTTTCTGGCTGGCATTGCCCTTGACATGCTTATTTTAACTCACAGCTCTCGTCTTTAGAGGACCTTTTGCAATTATACAACTTTATTTAGAAAGAATCTACAAATAGAAGAAGCAGATGCACTTTTCCCTGCCTGCTGAGTGCTGGCCTCAAGGCTTGTGAGGGACAAGATAGGCCGGGTTCCTCGATAGCCCCCTTCTGTAGAGCTTTTTTTGGGAAAAAAAAAAAAAAAAGTCCCTAAAAGTTGGCTCTGAATTCTTTGTCCCAGATCCAGTGGGGTGACACAGCATACGGCCAAGCAACAGGAAGGCTCACATCAGCCCAGATGTGAAGTGTTGAGCTGGCGTGGGCCTGCTTCACGTGAGGCCGTTCACCCACCCGAAGCACTAGGGAGGGGGTACTTTCTGAAGGACACGGGAGGCCAGACCAGGCCCTATCAGAGGGACTTAGGGAGAAGCTCCAGTGGCCTGGAGGTACGCTGGAAGATGCCATAATGTCAGTGAACCTGCTGTCGGAGATAAAGCTAGGGCCTTCCACTTTGGTCTTTAATAAAAGTAAACAGCTGACCTCTTTCTCTCCTTACTTTCCATCTTTTCAGGATTTCGCCATTTACTTTCTGGGCTTGTAGGAATGAGACAGGGAAGTAACTGACATCCCCAGGATTTATCAGGCTGCCCGGTTGCTCCATCCTGGCCCTTCCTGGACCTCATCGTTGTCCCTGTCCATCATTTTTGGGGTTATAAGGAGCTGTGCGAGGGACTGGGAAGCTTTACCCTCACCATAGGCCTGAAGTCGGTGTCTTCAGATTGCTTCAGGGAGGGAAAGCGAGTGCTGACTGTGGGGACAGGAGGTATGGGCAGAAACGTGGATGCAGCTCCAGCACAGAGGAGTCCTGCCTTGGCTCAGCTCTTGAGAGTTGGTAGAGGTTATGGGGATTCTTTGAGATGTGAATGAGAAAATGGGATCAAGAGGTTAATTTATTCCCCCAACCAAAGCACAGCTGAGTGGTAATCAGACCTAACTGAGGTATTTCCTTCTTTTTGTATGGAACCTGCTGGAGTGTCTGATTTCTGTATTAAAGGGTCATGGGCAGGTCACATGACAGGATCTTTCTTTTTTCATTTCTAATGATTTTTGAAATCAGAACTCTTTGAAGCTGGTGAGAGAGGTGATTTGTGGTGATAAAACTACCCCAGAGAGGGCACACAACTCTGGGTCACCATCTCCGGACTTCCTTTTGCATGTCCTTTTGCACAATAGTGTCATCACTGTTGGGTTACTTGGGTCCACTTGTAGACACTATAGAAAGACCACTGCCATAAGACCTATAAGACACACCTATAATTGTCCCTGAATAAATACGAGTTGCCAGCGGTTGTAGTTTCTGATGCGTGTTTAGTTTTACTATCCTTTTTCTCTTTTAAGATAAAGTGCCTTTCTTTAATTTTAATTTTATTTCTTTTTCAGTTCAAATCTGAACATCAATGATGTCCTAGGGAATTATTCATTGACTCTTGTTGATGCGTTGGATACTCTTGCAGTAAGTGTTTAGCCTTATTATTATTTTTTTAATTAATTAAGGTATTTTAGAGTTGATTATCCTTAGTTTCTTCCGGGGAAACCTGACACTCAAAATGTATTCATAGCTCTGATAGCCATTGTTTATTTTAATGACCCCAATGCTGAGAATGAGAAGAGCATTCAAGGTTAAAGGAAAAGAAATGTGATCCCCCTAAAAAAATGGAGAAGACAGTATGATTGTTTTGGGAAAACCAATTTCTCTCTCAGTATCCCACTGTTTTATTCCATAAAGGAATCAGTAGAGCATTGCATTCAAGTTGACAGTACCGTAGTTAAGATCTCAGAAGTAAAAGGGGTCACTAGGGCCCCCGAAATAGCATCCACTATATGCTCCCCAAGAGTATGTACTGAGCCCTGCTCCCGGGCCCCCACACAAGACCTTCTCTAGAAATGCTCCCTTCTGCGTGCCGCTCCGTGTTCTGTCCACGCTCAGGTTGCCAACTTGGGTGCTGCCTTTTCCTCCATCATCCCATGGTTTCCCTCATGGAGTCTGGGGAGCTGGAGACCTTTGAGCAGATTTGAAGAAGCACATTGCAAGCTGGATGGCACCGTGGCATGGTCCTTACCATCCCACACTGTGCGTCACGTGTGCTCGGTCTGCTTCTCCTACTCTGCTTCCAAGGGACCGTATTTCAGTGTAGCGTGTTAAAACCTCCTTGATAAAGGTGATTGCACAACCTCTTTGCTCCCCTTCATTGTCCAGTGCCTTTACCATTGGAGAATTCTTACCCGTAGTCGAGCCCAAATCCTGCATTTAATAATGTACTCTTGTCTGTTTTAACTTCCTGAGAAGAGTTTAAAGCTGTCAGGGGCTACAGGTGGGTAATGCTAGCCAAATGTGCATCACAGCTGCCCAGGAGTTTGCTGGAGAAAACTGACTAGGACTAGGAAGTAGCTCGGGCGATAGCTGTGCAACTTCCTAGGCCTGGGGTATGTGGGGCCTTCAGGCTTTCGTTCCCCTGTGGTGGCACGATGTTTTACTGGGCCAATTTCTCTTTTGGGGTTCTCGCTGTTCCACTTCAGTCATGTATCATCGGAGATCACAATGTGCCCAGACAAGTCTGTGCAGCCTAATTAGAGCTAACTTGTTGAAGATACCAGAGGCTGACTCAGCCTTATAGGTATTGCTTTAAAAAAAAAGAGTCTCCCCAAACTCATATACATTATGGAAGAGCACCACTTGTCCCTGCTCTCTCTCTTTTGGCCTCATTGTGTCTTTTTATCCCTCTGCTGTGCAGAGGGAGATCTAATCTCTATTGTTCACTGCATTCTCCACCTAAAAGTGTCTGATACATAGTAGAAGTGCAGATATGTGTTCAAAAAATGAGTTTCTACAGATTCAGCATTTCCCAACACTATTTCCAAGGTTATATTCCCTAAGTGAAGAATTGCGTTCCCAAATGAACTTGAGAAATTCTGCATGCCTGTCCCATTATTAGAGAGCGACAGCATACACCAGCATTTTAAAGGCTCTGAGAGGTCCTGCGGTAAAGAAGGCGATTTAACCCTTTTGTCCAATCCAGGTTTTCTTAAGCCTGAGTGAATGATTTCGCAGCCTGCTTACTGTGTTCTCTAGCTGTGTGACTAAAATGGTAAATTAGAATATGTAATTGAAAGTTACTGGCTTCCTTCAGCATCATCCTCCACTTGATCTGAGATCATATCAGCCTCTGCAGCTGCTAACAGATACTGTTGCTGGTAAGCATCTGTAAGGAAACAAAGCCACTTCTGTGGTTTTCATTGTAGAATATCCGGTCTTCAGTGTGCTAGCACTTCAGGCTTATTTTTCAGGTGTTACTTCAGTTGAGGTTTTCTTGTTCACTTGCTAACATTTTAAACAGCCTTTAACAGATGTGATGTGGAATCATTCAGAAGATAGCAGTCCCCTGACCACTGGCTGCAACTTGTAGCATTATTGCATAATCTTTTAAAAAGAAAGAACTATAAGTCAGGAAAGAAACGTCTGTACTTGCCCTGCATATTTATGGCAAAATAACAATGAAGAGGGGAATAAAAAGATGTATTAGACCAGTAAATACTAAGAGATAAGGCATACTTGAAATAGTGTCTGGATGAAATTATTTGTTTTTCCTTTGTGTGTGTGTCCTTATGATGTCCTTAAAGTCCCAGGATTGTCCTAGATTTTTGAACAGAATGAAAGCATTTTGGTTCAGTTAATCCGTAAAATTTTATACCAAATTTGCTCTTCAGATAGGAGAGAGCAGCTTAGTATGAGATCATAGTCATGTACCCAAAATAGGAATCATAATTTTAGATTACTGTTTAAAAAGGACATGGAGCTGATTATTTGTGTGTTTTGTTTGTTTGAATGCTGTATTCCAAAAGATCATGCTACTATTTCTCAGTGTTAGACATCTGGATAACCAGCAACAAGTCACTTTTACAGATGTTTTAGTCTCCTGGAAGCCAAGCACCCAAGCTGTCGATTTATTTGAGGAGCATAGGGAAAGCTGTATTTTTGTTGCTTTGGCTTTTGGATTTATTTTTACTCATTTCAAGAGTTTTAGGAACTCTGGTGCCTTGCATGTTAAATCATATCAGACCAAAGTTTGAGGGAGAGTCAAGTGGGAAGGTGAGGGGTACTAATGATTCAGAAGGAATTATTTCACAGTTTGACCATTTGGAGACAGGATTCTTGAATTGCAGGAAATGGGCTTGCCATCTGTCCCGAAATATATTCTAAGAGGTAACCATGCCTTTCTACCTTTTGTGTTTCCGGTCCTCCCATGGATGGCAAGACCGCATACAGACATTTAGATGAAGTGGTCCCTCAGTGTCCTTTCAGGCTGTTGTAATGGTTTGTGTTCCTCTTTTTAAAGATAATGGGAAATTCATCTGAGTTCCAGAAAGCAGTCAAGTTAGTGATCAACACAGTTTCATTTGACAAAGATTCCACCGTCCAAGTCTTTGAGGCCACAATAAGGTAAAATAGTACATGAAGTATATTGAAGGCTTTTTTTGTGTGTGTAAGCAGCAGAATTCCTGGGAGGCTGTCCCAGGTAGCGTATGTGGGGACCTTATGGACGCTGTGTCCATTTTTCCTCTGCCTTGTGGGCTTTATCAACAGTGGAACAATTGTCATTTCAAAGTAATTACATTTGGGGCCAAAAAAGAAAGACTCATGCATTAATAAAGGTGGGAGATAGGTGCCCTTTTAAGGCAGATTTTCTCTGTCACTTTGTGTCTGGTCTCCTTCACTGCGTCCTAGGAAAACCCCTACGTATTTCTGAAGGAAATGAAAGTTTCCCATCTTACCTACCACCCACAGAGAACCCCTTCTTATCATTTGGGTGTATTTCCCCCTCAGGAGCCACTCTCTCTTCTCTCCCCACCCCACCGCCCCCACCCTGCCTCCCTCCTCCCCTCCACTCCCACCACCAAGGTATTGGGCACATGTTCCATACCTTGTCTCTTGCCTCTTTAAGTTGTTGTATTGTGACTATTTTATCATTTCATTTAGAAAACTGTATTCCTGCATACCATTCCAGATATATCATTTATTTAAAATTAAAGTTATGACAACATTTGTACCAACACACGTCACAGTCCACTTGAGATCATTGAAGTGTCCCATGATTCCTGGCCCATGGAGACATAGATCTGAGCCGGTGGCCTTCTGCTACCTCTCCTCACCTTCTCCATCTCCTCCTCTTCCTCACCTTGCCTTCTCACCAGAAGGTGGAGAATTTCTCAGCTGCTTGGGAGCCCAAACTAGAAAAGCCAGTTGGTATTTGTTCTCTTGACCTTTATTTATTCTCTTGACCTTTCCTGTTTCCGGTATGGTTAAGTGTTTTCCCCGTGTGAGAGAAATCAAGAGTCATTTATGAATACTGAAAGGTAATGTTTATTTTGAGAATGGCTAGGACCCTCCCTTCTGATGAGATGTTGGAGACTGCCAGCCATTAGTTATTACTTTAAGTGAGATTATTCTTGGTGGCCTCAGGTGAATGGTTCTCTTTCTCCTTTCCAGTAATGTGGTTAACTAGAATCGGTCACTTGTTATCAGGGCTGGAAAGACCTTCAAGGAGCCATTCAGTTCAGTTCCTCTGATTCTGGGCAGCTCTGAGTTCAGGGGATTTGAAGCTGTCACTCTAAACTGGTTTGTATGCCCTGACAAACAACATGCTTTTATTATTTTTGTATTCTTGTCATCCTGTCTTTCAGGGTCCTAGGAAGCCTCCTTTCTGCCCACAGAATAATAACTGACTCCAAGCAGCCCTTTGGTGACATGACAATTAAGGATTATGATAACGAATTGTTGCACATGGCTCACGATCTGGCTGTGCGCCTCCTCCCTGCCTTTGAAAACACCAAGACAGGGATCCCCTATCCTCGGGTAGGTAGACCAGTTTGACATTTCCGCAACTTCCTGAATTAAAACTCTTTTTTGATTAATTTATTTGGGGGAAAAGGGGAGGTAATGTGAAAGAGGAAAGCTGTGTCCTTGAGAGAATTTGGCCCTAAATATGATCTTTTTTTTAATCCCTGTAGCATTTACCAAGCACCTACTGCATGTCAGGCATACAGTGACATATTTTGATTTTTCCCTTTAAGAATCTTTTGTTCCTGTGCTCAGTATTCTGAAGTTCTGCTGCATGTGAGATTTATATCTCCTGCTATAGAATAGCATGGGGAATTTGTCTTTATTTCTGGCTCAAGTGTATTTCCCCAAAGACCCTCATGTGTGTACTTTAGGGTCCTGGTGAATGTTCTTGGGAATGCCTCACATGGATCTTTCAAGTAAAAGCCTGCACAGCCCAGCCAGTTAGCTGCTGACTTAAATGCAAGATCTGGAATGAGATTATATCTTTGTGGCATGCAATTTGCTGAGCTCAGAACTCCTTTGGGAATTGAGTCAGGCTTTTAGGTAACCAGCAGAGAATTGCCAGCCCACAGAGCCTCAGTGATGAAAGAGGCTGTCACATTCTTCCTGTATCTCCCTTGTCTACTAGTCCATGATTTGTTTATGTTCGCTGAGTGGGGGTGAGTTCCTAGTAGCTCACTTAAAATTTATAAGGGATTCCACAGCTGGCCTTTTTTTTGAATGCCAAAGCCTGGTGCTAGAAAGAGGTGGATTAGTGAATAGCATTGTAACCATTCCCCTGACACTTGCTCTTATTCAAACAAGGTTCTGGTGTCCTTATTGTCTTGTTTATGTCTTTTATTTTATTTTTTTATTTTTATTTTTTTTATTTTATTTTTTTAAAGATTTTATTTATTCATGAGAGAGACAGAGAGAGAGGCAGAAACACTGGCAGAGGGAGAAGCAGGCTCCCTGCAGAGCCTGATGTGGGACTCGATCGCGGTACTCCAGGATCATGCCCTGAGCCAAAGGCAGAGGCTCAACTGCTGAGCCACCCAGGTGTCCCGTTGTTTATGTCTTTTAAGCATTAACTCCCTTATCTATCTCAGGTGTGACATGGGAGGCAGTGAGCTGAGTCCACTGTAGTAAGTTTGATTCATTTGTTGAATCTAGTGGCTATGACCTGGCCTTCTAGCCCTTGCCACAAATCCTTTGTCTCTTCCCGTCCCCAGGTGAATCTAAAGACAGGTGTTCCTCCTGACAGCAATAATGAGACGTGCACAGCAGGAGCTGGTTCCCTCCTGGTGGAATTTGGGATCCTGAGCCGACTTCTAGGGGACTCTACATTTGAGTGGGTGGCCAGACGTGCTGTGAAAGCCCTTTGGAACCTGCGGAGCAATGATACGGGATTATTAGGTATGGTAGCATCTTCTCAGGCCATTGGGACTGTGTACATTTGGCCCCCTTTCCTTTCCTCTTCTCTAGGGCTCTACGTCCTCTCCACTCTTTCTGTCTGTACTGCTGAACTGGACAGTTGACACCTCAGAAAGAATGGCCCTCAGTGTCTTCATGTCTAGTTTCTCTGTGGGACTTTCTGCTTAGAGTGAGGCTGTAACATTTGATGGGAAAGAATAATGCTTTTGCCATTTGAGGGTTCCCTCTGATTTGAATCCCCTGGAATATTCTACTTGAAAATAATTGTTAATAGAAATGCTATAAAAAGAACTGCCTCTAAGGCAGGTTATATTATTTTAACATAAGGCTCTAAATTAGGAATTTAGTGTTACTGGTAGAGTGGCTTTCTCCTTTAAAAAAAAAAAACCCTGGGCTTGTGGTAGTAGGTTGAAAGGCCAGATTAACCTATATTAGGTGGGATTTTTTTTTTTTTCCTCTTGAGAATGCTGGTCAAGATATTAAACTATTTTGGAATATTTCAAACCTAGACACGCAGGGAGAAAGTAGAATAAATAATGTATCCCTATGTACTCCTCATTCATCTTCAATAATTACTAGTTTTTTGCTATTCAAGATGTTATTTTAAACTGTCTTACATTAAGAAAAAACCTTTTTGTCATTGAGAAGTACCTTGATTGGTTGTCCTAGAGCCATAGAGTGTCACTGCAAGAGCACTGCTTTTTGAAGGTTTTTTTTTTTTTTTTTTTTTTTAAAGTAATGTCTGTGCCCAGTGTAGGGCTTAAACTTGTGACCCTGAGATCAAGAGTCCCATGCTCCACTGATTGAGCTGGCTAGGGGCCCCACAAGTGATTTTTGATTATGCCTTAAGTTATTAAACTTATTGACATATTTGTTGTGTTTAATAACAGTGGTGGAAATAAAAAAGTTGCCCAAATTGCTACCCTACCACCAAATGGTTTGCCAGTGTCACCACAAATAGTCACCTTTTAAATTTCCATACACTCTGTCAGTCTGGCATGTGCAAGTGTTTATATACCTTCAACCTATAATATAAATAAGCATTTTTATTCTGTCTTACATTTGGCAGTTCAGGTTTTCTGTGTCGTTACCTTGTTTTCAGAGCTATTGGTTTATTTCTTTTCTCATAGCTATTGTTTTTAAAATCTACATATAGTCCGTTAACTCTTCCTGTATTGGACACTTGGATTATTTCTGTTTTTTCTCCCTCCTCCCATTTTACAGATAATATAAATCATACAATTCATAATTCTTGATGAACAACACAATACTTTTTCTTAAAAACATTTTTTTTTTCACAAAGGATAAGTTCCCAGGAATGGCATTACCAAGTCAAAGGTATGAACACTCAGTTGGCGTTTGAAATGCATTGTTAATCTGGAAAGGCAAAATGACAACTTTACTTTTCTTTTTTTTTATAAATTAATTTTTATTGGTGTTCAATTTACCAACATACAGAATAACACCCAGTGCTCATCCCGTCAAGTGTACCCCTCAGTGCCCGTCGACCATTCACCCCCACCCCCCACCCTCCTCCCCCTCCACCACCCCCAGTTCATTTCCCAGAGTTAGGAGTCTCTATGTTCTGTCTCCCTTTCTGATATTTCTCACACATTTCTTCTCCCTTCCCTTATATTCCCTTTCGCTATTATTCATATTCCCCAAATGAATGAGAACATACACTGTTTGTCCTACTCCGGTTACTGTGGCCAAGTTAAAAAAGGGTGTTGCCTGAGTTCTTCTCTGGGATTTTGATGGAATCTTGTCTCACATTTAGATCTTTCATCTATTTTGAGTTTATCTTTGTGTATGGTGCAAGAGAGTGGTCCAGTTTCATTCTTCTGCATGTGGATGTCCAATTTTCCCAGCACCATTTATTGAAGAGACTGTCTTTCTTCTAGTGGATCGTCTTTCCTCCTTTATCGTATATTAGTTGAGCATAAAGTTCAGGGTCCACTTCTGGGTTCTCTGTTCTGTTCCATTGATCTATATGTCTGTTTTTGTGCCAGTACCACACTGTCTTGATGAACACAGCTTTGTAGTACAACCTGAAATCTGGCATTGTGATGCCCCCAGATATGGTTTTCTTTTTTTTAAAATTCCCCTGGCTGTTTGGGGTCTTTTCTGATTCCACACAAATCTTAAAATAATTTGTTCTAAGTCTCTGAAGAAAGTCCATGGTATTTTGATAGGGATTGCATTATACGTGTAAATTGCCCTGGGTAACATTGACATTTTCACAATATTCTGCCAATCCATGAGCATGGAATATTTTTCCAACTCTTTGTGTCTTCCTCAATTTCTTTCAGAAGTGTTCTGTAGTTTTTAGGGTATATTTTGAGAACCATTTGAATGGTAAATGGTTCTCCAACCTTTTATTTTCAGGTTGTAGGTGTCCTTCTGTCTAAAATGAGTCTCTTGTAGACAGCAAATAGATGGGTCCTGTTTTTTTATCCAGTCTGAAACTCTGCGCCTTTTGATGGGGTCATTAAGCCCATTCATGTTCAGAGTTACTTGAACTTCTTCTTAAAGGGGAGTTTTAAGAGTCCCCCTTAAAATTTCTTGCAGAGCTGGTTTGGAGGTCACATATTCTTTCAGTTCCTGCCTGTCTTGGAAGCTCTTTATCTCTCCTTCCATTTTGAATGAGAGCCTTGCTGGATAAAGTATTCTTGGTTGCATCTTCTTCTCATTTAGGACCCTGAATATATCCTGCCAGCCCTTTCTGGCCTGCCAGGTCTCTGTGGAGAGGTCTGCTGTTACCCTAATATTCCTCCCCATGAAAGTCAGGGACTTCTTGTCTCTTGCTGCTTTAAGGATCTTCTCTTTATCTTTGGAATTTGCAAGCTTCACTATTAGATGTCGAGGTATTGAACGGTTTTTATTGATTTTAGGGGGGGATCTCTCTATTTCCTGGATCTGAATGCCTGTTTCCCTTCCCAGATTGGGAAAGTTTTCAGCTAGGATTTGTTCAAATACATATTCTGGCCCTCTGGCCCTTTCGGCGCCCTCGGGAACCCCAATTAAACGTAGGTTTTTCTTCCTTAGAGTGTCATTTATTTGCCTTAATCTGTCTTCATGGTTCTTTAATTGTTTATCTCTTTTTTCCTCAGTTTCCCTCTTTGCCATTAGCTTGTCTTCTATGTCACTCACTCGTTCTTCCACCTCGTTAACCCTCGTCGTTAGGACTTCTAGTTTGGATTGCATCTCATTCAATTGATTTTTAATTTCTGCCTGATTGGATCTAAATTCTGCAGTCATGAAGTCTCGTGAGGCCTTAATGCTTTTTTCTAGAGCCACCAGTAGCTGTATAATGGTGCTTCTGAATTGGCTTTCTGACATTGAAGTGTAATCCAGATTTTGTAACTCTGTGGGAGAGAGGGCTGTTTCTGATTCTTTCTTTTGAAGTGAGGTTTTCCTTCTAGTCATTTTGCTCAGTGCAGAGTGGCCAAAAACAAGTTGTATTGGAACACGGGGGAGTATCACTGGTCCCTCTAGCTGGTCTTCTGGGGGAGGGGCCTGTTGCGCTGATTCTCAGGTGTTAGCACTTGGGGGAGCTGCTCTGCCCCTGCCTGCTGCAGGGCTCAGCGGGGGTTGTTTACCCCGTGAGGTCTGAGGAGGAACAGTTGCAGTTGCTATGGCAACTCTGGAAGCCTGGATTCAGCCTCCCCAGGAACTACGGGGCTCGGGGGCTCTCGGCTCTCCGTCCGCAGGGCCTGGAGGCTCCGGGGCGGGGCCGCTGATCTGCTCAGCTCCGGGCAGGAGCGTCCTCGCTGTCCTGGGCCCTCCCGGCCTCTGCCTGTCCCGGGGGGAGGCCGGATCCTGGGCTGTGTCCCGGCGCCCTGTGCTCCGGGGCCTGTGTTGTTGGATTTGCGCTCCCGCCCCGCAGCCCCCTCCCTGGAGCCGCTCCCGAGCCCCTCCGAGCTGCTCCGGTCGGTCCCCGCCATGCGCGCTGCAGCCCTTAGGGAGCTCGGCGCACTCTCCCGGGGCGCAGGTGTCTGTTAGTGTCCCCGGGAGCCCGAGGGCATCCCCGCCCTCCTGGGTCCTGCTCCAACTCCCTGCGAGCCCCTTTCCGCCCGCCCGGGAAGGTTGGTGCAGCTCCTGCTCCTCCGGGACGGGGCTCTCCTGTCCTGGGGACACTCGCCCCGGCCTCAGCCCGGCTCCTCGCGGGGCCCCTCCCCCTCGGAGGCCTTTTGTTTCTTTATTTCTTTTTCTCCGTCTTCCTACCTTGATAGAAGCTCGGACTTTTCTCACTGTAGCATTCCAGCTGGTCTCTCTTTACATCTCAGGCCGAATTCGTAAATTTTCAGGATGGTTTGAAGGTTATCTAGGTAATTTGGTGGGGACAGGTGATTTGGGGACCCTGCTCTTCCGCCATCTTGCCCCTCCCCCCCACAACTTTACTTTTCTTGTGTCTTAAGTGTTTTTCCCAGTTTTATCCCAGTATTTAAACACCTTATACTCAGAAAGATTTCCTGGCTCTCTGTGCCCCTGATGGGACTGATACAAACATGAGGGCCAAGCGTTCTCTTTCTGCCTTCACTTTTTTGCTAAGCACAAAGATGTGGAAGAGCAGTGGGGGCTGGAGTAGGAGGGCACCCTGGCGTGTAACTGGGGCCCGACGGGCTCTCTTTGTTTTTGCAGGCAACGTGGTGAACATTCAGACAGGCCGCTGGGTTGGCAAGCAGAGTGGCTTGGGCGCCGGCCTGGACTCCTTCTATGAATACCTCTTGAAATCTTACATTCTCTTTGGAGAAAAGGAAGACCTAGAAATGTTTAATGCAGCATACCGAAGTATTCAGAACTACCTGAGAAGAGGGTGCGTCTCCTCTCTTGCCCTGTAAAACAAATCCCTGTGGCGTTCTCACCATGATTCCACAGCACTGTTTGGTCTCAGCGTTCATCTTCCCATTTCCTAGTTGTTGATCGGACCTTTGGGGGTGAAGAGCTATATTAGCTTTCCACTGTGGCATTATAAATTACCCCAGCACTGGGTGGATTAAAACAACACACATTATCTCACTCAGTTTCTTAGGGTCCGGAATCCAAGAGCCGCGGAGTGCCCTGAGTCTCACAGGATTGTCACCAGGCTGTCGGCAGGGGCTATGGCCCTGTCAAGGCTTGGTCAGGGCCAGAGGATCCACTTGTAGGCTCATGCCTCTGCTGGTTGGCAGGTTTCAATCCCTTGCCATGTGGACCTTTTTGTAGGCAGGTTATGGTGGCAGGCTTCCCCCAGAGTGGGTGATCTGAGAGAGGTAGAAAGAGAGACCAAAGGGTGCTGTCATGACCTACTGTTGAAATGACAAACCAGCACTTCTGCCCGGCTCTATAGGTCCCACAGACGAACCCTGACACAGTGTGGAAGGGGGCCGTACAAGTCACACCCTTTGTGACTGCCAGAAGTCAGGGATCTTTGGGGCCATGGTGGAGACTGGCTGTCCCAAGGAGTGACATGTGCCTGTGTTTCACTGGGGCTTTAATTGCAGATGGAGCTTTAAACAGGACAATTACTGAGTTGTTTTGTTTTTTTTTTTTACTTTCAAAGACTTGTTTGGATTGGTCTTTATACCTAATGAGAGGAAGGACAGTTACCACATGTCCCCCCTCTGTTGATTAAAACAGCATTATTTGCTACTACTCATATGTACAATCAGGGGGGCAGGAGAGGAGTGCCATTCAAAGCTACAGCGGCTTCTACCCCGATGTCACCTTACATCCTTGGGCCTTTCTTTCTTCGTATGCTTTTATTATTAAATGTCCATTGCAAGTAATAGCTACTGAGTTTCTGCATCTTAGGGTTTTCTTAGACTCATTTCTATGTTAGCTGTTGTAGGAACCCCTTATGTGAGGGCTGTGTTTTAGTAGGAGGCCGTCTGGCCAGGGTTTAGTCATTTTTGCTTTTTAAAGTCCCAAACTAAATTGAGTGATGATCCCTGAGCATCTTGCTTATGCATTCGTTCCTTTGGGCCCCTGGTATAGGACTTTATCAGAGAAGAGACTCTTGTGTGGAGAAGTAACCAGAGGCTTTTCCACTCCAGTCAAATCCAGCAAAGACCCATGCTAGATACCATATTATGTGGCAGTATTCGTAAGCCTGAACGTCCAAGTGTTTTCTGAAAAAAATATGGTGAAATCCCTGATGAGTTACAATGGCTAAATTAAGAACTTTTATTCTATGGTAGATGTTACCTTATGCTAGAGTCTGGTATCAACAGGTAGAGGCAGTTTATCTCCAAAGGTTTAAAGAGTGAGTTAGGAGAAAGCGTTAATGTTGATTCCACTGAAGTATAACCACGAGGAGCTGCGGGAGGAGCTGGGCTGGAGCTCTGTCAGTGATCTTTCTTTTCACCTTTGACCGCTCTGCTTGGGTCCTTAGTCGGGAAGCCTGTAACGAAGGAGAAGGAGACCCCCCGCTGTATGTCAATGTGAACATGTTCAGTGGGCAGCTGATGAACACTTGGATCGACTCTCTGCAGGCCTTCTTCCCCGGGCTGCAGGTATCTTGTGATCATGTTTACCAAGAAAAAGCTGTCATTGGAAAGCGTTTCTGTTTTTTTACTCTTTTCTTTCTCTGAGACCAGAGCATTCTCTGGCTCCTCCGGATTTGGGAGGTTAGTAGCACAATATATGTCCTGATTATTCTGTTTGTGGGATCAGCCCCAGAATATTGAACAGAGCCATACTAAGTAAGTGTAAAATCATGGCTGGAAAGTGTGATTTTTGAATCATCTGTCTCTTAATTTTGTTTGTTCTTTGTTCATAAGAATGGTAAACCTCTTGTCCCATGCAGTTTGCCTCAATTTGGCATTGTGAGTCAGTTAGGGAGGGCATCCTTTTTCCTGGGTTGCTCCTTTTGGGTTGATTTTGTCTCCAACCATGTTTTGTCTCCAGTCAGGTCAGATGAGAACCGGGGGGCAGAGGGACAGCCCAGGGCCTTGCCACTATGTCTTGCCGCTCTGAAAAAAGATTCTTAGCCTGGTGACCTGTGTCTTCTCCGTAGGTTCTGATAGGAGATGTGGAAGATGCCATCTGCCTCCATGCCTTTTACTACGCCATCTGGAAACGCTACGGGGCCCTCCCTGAGAGGTATAACTGGCAGCTCCAGGCCCCCGATGTGCTCTTCTACCCGCTGAGACCAGAGCTAGTGGAGTCTACGTATCTCCTCTACCAGGTACTAGAGTTTGTTGATCAGTAGTTTGTATTTAAATATTAGCAGCTGGTTTTTAGCAAACATTGGCTGAGTGATGTAGAGGTGTGTTGTTTCCTAGTGACTGTGATACGGTTGCCAGCTAACCATAGGCTTGTCGGTGTTTAGTGTGATTCATGGTTCCCTGGGACAGAGAAGGTGTCTGCAGTCTCACACCAAATTGTTGAATCTAATCTTCTCCAAAGCCCATTGTGCCTGTACCATGGGCCTTTTCTCTCCCACCCTGACACATGAAAGAGGACTTAGTACTCAATGTTTTCTAGATCTGTTTGGCCAAAGAACTCTTTTTTGGGATATAGTTCTGTATTCATGCGCTGTGGAACACTGGTCTGTGTAATAATTATTCAGATGAAAGGAATTCTTTTTCTCGGTAAAGGAAATCATCTGGGATTCATCCGAATGCCTATTTTTGTTTAACGCTTAAAAAAACATATAGTGTTCATTTTTCCATGAAATTTAATGCCAGAGAGATTGTCACTTTAACTGTGAAGTCTCCCCCGCAGCCTAAGGCAGATATTTATACTTCTGGGCCTGCCATCCGTCTATACACACTGGGAGTGTGCATCCATTCACAAACACAGCAGCTTTCTACAAAGCCTGTCTTCAGTGCACCTCAGGGGACCTGTGACAGATGCCTGCAGGGAGCAAGCCTAGACAAGAAGATACTTATTTTTATGAGTTTTGGTAGTAGGATTAGTACTGGGGTTTGGATTTAGTAAAGATAAAATGAACACTGAATCGTGCCATTCGCTTCTAGAGGAAAAAGGGAAAAATCCTATGAAACTGGTCAAAGTCCTCACGTGTAAAGAGAGACCGCATGAGTCTTAGATGACCTCTCAGAAGAGGGCAAAGATAGCCTCCAGACTTTCTTCTCTGAGCTGGGTGTACAGTCAGGTTCCATGTGCTCCGAGGATGCCATGCCTGGTGCTGCCGGAGTTCTCTTAAGCTTAGGTCTGTTGCCTTTGGGTTTATACCTCTTCATTTCTGTCACTTCTTCTTTCCTATTTTCAGCTTCTTCTCCCTTTGACTATTTTCTTAGAAGGCAGAGAAACCTGCAGCTTTCTGGCTCCACCCTCGGAGGCCACTCCCTGTGCTCTCCTCCCACACAGACTGCTCCCCTTAGAGTAGTTTGCATATGCTGCTGCAGGTTGGCACTAGGCATGAAATAAAGACGGTTCCCAGCTTTTGAACTGGACGTGGTGGACAGGTCTCATTTTCTCAGAAAATTGGTTTCCTAATGAAACCATATAAGAGCATGGAGTAGAGTAAGCGACCCTAGGGACTGAGTTCATCAGGCAATTCGAGAGGAAAGTGTGGGGGCCTCCTGTTTGAGAGTCTTCTTGTTCTCAGCTTTTCCTCTAAAGGCTACACGTGGAATGGGGGCCGAGTCCTGTGTCCTAGGCTTGCATCTTACTTATATTTCTAGGGAGTTCTGAGGCAAGAAAGAATAGATTTGTTCTCACATATGGTACTCTCAGTGAGGCGTTATTTCATTTCTGATTATGGTGGGGAACTGGAGAGCCAGAGCGGGGTATTGTTCTATCCTGGGGCAGACTGCCTCTGGCCTGGTTAAGGTTAAACGCACTGTAGATGGACTTTGACGTGAACCAACAGAACACCTTAGTTCTTGAACATTTATGACCCTTCAAGATCAAGAGAGCTGGGCGCTGTGCCTGCCTTTGGCCAGTGACTCACCTCCTCGGGAGATTCCTGCAGTCACCGTGATGTTTATTGATGGCATGTTTTCCAGGCCCTTGCTGGATCACACTCTCTCATGTTCTCTCTAGGCAACCAAGAATCCCTTCTACCTCCATGTAGGAATGGATATTCTGCAGAGTCTGGAAAAGTACACAAAAGTCAAGTTAGTTTCCTAAGTTCCTTCCTTTTTCTGTTGGCCACTTTTGATTTCTTTTCAGTTGTTCTAGGGAAGTATTCTGTTTTGCACTTCAATTTATAGAACAGGTCATTAATGTTTATTCTTTAGGGAATTTGCTTATTTTTTGCATAGCAGGACAGGTCCATTATAGTGGGAATTACTTTTAATTTTTTTTCACATTTTTTTTTCTGTAAGATTCCAGTAGACTATGTACTTTCTTTTTAAGTAACTTATTTTCCCTAGTTTTACAAATAATATATGTACTAAAAATTTAGAGATTACAGAAAATATGGAGGTAGACTATTATCACCATAATCTCCATGTGCAGATAACCACAATCAGCATTTAAGTTTATATACTTACAATCATTTTCATATATTTGTATGTATAATGTGTGTATGTATGTATATATTAAAAAAGAACTGTATTTCAATTTTGGGACCTGCTTTTTTTCACCTAGCAGCATATCTTAACTATTTTATTACAAAATAGTATTTTAGACTACCCAATAAATCAGTTCTACAGATACTGGGACAAAAAATTTCAATCAGTTCTAAATTTGTTGCCAGTCCTTTTCTTGGTGTCATGTTAGCTCTTGGCAGATGAACTCCACCACCTCCACCTTCTTTCCCTCCACAACTAACCTGATGATTTTGCAGCCAAACCACTTTTTAATGAATTTGCAAATAGTCTAGGCTGCGGAAGGATAGCTCTTAAATCTAACCTAATTTGTTTTTCATATGGTATTTGAGAATTTGGTTGATTTTTCTGTTAATAGTCTATTTCTGCTTCTTAAATTAATAAGCAAGCAGGAAGGAGCAGAGGTAGGACTAACAGGGCAATTGTTTTGCAGGTGTGGGTATGCTACATTGCATCATGTCATAGACAAATCCAAAGAGGACCGGATGGAGAGCTTCTTTCTCAGTGAGACCTGTAAATACTTGTATCTGGTAAGTGTGTTAGAAGGTTAACCCCAAAAATGTTTATCACTGCTTGGAGCATGCATTATTTGATCTTCCATCTAGCATATATTCGCTGGGCACTTCTCTGTGCTGGACATGTGCTGGCCCAGGGACACAGTACTATCAAAACAAAAGCATATTGCTGTCATCCGCTGTGGTTTCTAACCTCATGGGGGAAGTGTCGTCAAGTAAACAAATGAACTTTCGATTGATCACGACCTACGGATAAGCCATGGTCACGGTTAATAGAGGACCCGCCCACATGAGTGGTGGCAATCAGGGAAGGCTTCTTTGAGGAAGCGGCAGTGTCTACAGCTCTTAAGTCTTTTTTTTTTTTTTTTAATTTTTATTTATTTATGATAGTCACAGAGAAAGAGAGAGGCAGAGACACAGGCAGAGGGAGAAGCAGGCTCCATGCACCGGAAGCCCGATGTGGGATTCGATCCCGGGTCTCCAGGATCGCGCCCTGGGCCAAAGGCAGGCGCCAAACCGCTGCGCCACCCAGGGATCCCGCTCTTAAGTCTTTTGATGTGTGTGAGTGTGGCTAAGACCCCAGCCTGGTTGGCTCTCTGTCCAGGCCCACATTTCTCGTGTGTAGAAAGAGACAGAGTCACGGGACCTGGAGGAAACCTTTAAGGGGTCATTTGTCAGCATTCATTTTTTTTTTTCCCTAATGGGAGCTGCTATCTGCACAGAGAGGTCAGGTGACTTGCCTGGGTTTTTGGGGTGATTGCATGGCAGAGCTAAGGCTTCACTCCCAGTGCTGACTTCTGCAGTGCTCTTGCCACTTTCCTACTCTGCAGCATGCACACATGGTATGAGTGGCATGTGCACGTGGCTACTCTACTACCTTCTCTACTGCTGTACTTAAGGATACTTCCTCAAGGCACAGAGGGTGAGAAACAGTGTGGAGGCTGAGATTCTAAGGTAAATGAGCTGTAGTGACAGGCCATGTTATTGAGGTCTCTGGTTCCCAGGCCCAGGGGCCAGCTGGATCAGAAACACCCTAGGCCCTTGTTGAAGTTACAGCCCTGTTGAATCAGAATCTTCAGGAGTAGGCTCAAGAATCTATAATTTTGACAATGGCTTGTGGTTTGGTACAAAGCCACAGTTTGGAATTACCAGTCTAATCTGGTGTGGCTTTTCAGGGGACACTGCGCAGGAGGTGTGCCCACGGGAAGATGGCCACCCTGCCGTCTGGTCTGTGGGGGCCTAGGTCTCTCCATCAGTGCCTGCGTCAGGGCCAGGTGGGCCGCTGCAGGCTGATAGAAGCCCTGCGTGCATCCCCGTTCTGCAGCCCTCAGTGCCTGGAGTGTTCACAGGGCGAGTTCTAGAGCAAATGATGGAGACTCCTTAGGCTGTTCTAGAAGGAAGAACATAGGCTCTGGGGCGAAAAAACCTAGGCCTACCCTATTCTTCTCCTGTGAGCTGTGGAAATGGACAAGTTGTGCTGAGCCTCTTTTTTCCTCATCTGCCAAATACTTCAGGGGACTGTAAGGTTTCTTCCATCACTGACATTTCTGTTCTAAATGTTTGCTCATTTAACATTTACCTGACACCTGCCTTCTCCACCCACTGACCTGTCCTGTATTCAGTTAGGTGTTCTTTCTGGACGCTCCTGTCGCACGCCTACTGTTGAAGGAAGGCATTGCCCTGTGTGCCTCTGTCCTCACAGCCTGGCCTGTGTTCTGACAGGAATCAATGGGATGGTGGCACAGGTGTCTTGCTCTATCTACCAGGCCCTGGGATGTGGGGAAAGATAAAGTGTATGCTTCTTCCCCTCCAGCATTTTCCAGTTCAGGGCCTATGTGTGTGTGTGAGGTGGAGGTAGTTCTAGAATTCTAGTGCCAGAACTCTCAGGGGAGCATATGGGGGTCATCCAGAGACAAGTTTGGGTCTCAGCCCTGGGATTTCTGAATCTTTAGGTTTGAGCAGGGTGGGATGGGGATGGGGGAAATTCAGGCATTTGAGTTTAAACAAAACTGGTGATTCTGCTTTGCAGCCACAGTTGGGAATCACCTTTTTACCCATTTGTCCCTGAAAAGCCTGAGGACCCAGCAAATTCTACTCCCTGAGTGGTCTGGGACACACTCGTCTGAATTTGTTACAAATGCGCTACAATTATCAGTTGTATCTTTTTTGTTTTCTTTTTTTTTTTCTTTCCTTTCTTTCTAGCTATTTGATGAGGAGAATCCAGTCCACAAATCTGGAACCAAATACATGTTTACAACCGAGGGACACATTGTATCTGTGGACAAACATCTTCGGGAATCTCCCTGGAAGGAATTCTTTTCTGAAGAGGGAGGGCAGGACCCAGAGGGGAAGTCTGTGCACAGGCCTAAATCACCCGAGATAAAAGTCATCAACTCCAGCTCCAATGTAAGTTGCTTTCTCCAGGGGAGGCTTGGCTTGCATGTGGAGGAGGAGAAAATAATACAAACTTGTCATCCAAAGTCCCTGAGAGAAAAATTGGTGGCCTACTCAGACTGGGTCAGTTGGAGGGGAGTGTCCCAAAAGGCCATTGACGTGGATATCGTCAGGATGTGGAGACCCCTGGGGGCAGCACCACTTCTCTCCTAGCCGTAGGGGCTCCAGGGGTTCCAGGGGCTCATGGTCATGGGAACCTGGATGGGGAGAGGTGTTCAGAGCAGGGGGGTCTCCCAGCGAAGTCTTGTTCTTAGCTGGCTTCAGTGACCTTGTGGGAAAGAGCCAGCAGAGTAAGCCCTTGACCATCTTCCCTTCTCATCTACTGGAGCTTCTCATTGGCAATGCTCACCAGAAGGCAGAGGCCACAGGGACCTTTTGGTTTAATCTGTCAAATTGGCCTTGGGGGCCAGAGCAGGATGCGAAGGGCGGAGAGCAGAGCTGGAAGGACAAATGGAGGAGGCCCAGCCAAATCACCCACCAGCAGGAGAGGGGGAGAAAAAGCAGTCATCAGTCATTGTGACTTTTAATGAAATGCTTTTTGAAGTGCAGGAGAAACTCGGTTTCATTTAAAGCAGGGTTTCACTGAGCATGCCTCGATCGTCCTGATGAACACTGGGAAAGATTTGGAAACAAGTCCTGGAGTTTGTGGTAGGAGTCCGAGATAGTTGTATTGATCAGAGTCAAATAGGATGGTTTAAAAGTGAGGATGGGGAAGGAGACCCTGCATCAGTTGAAAGTCAAACCGTGTTATGCCACCTCTCTGCTCAGAAAAAGCTATGCTGTCAAGATTTCTCCATCTTCTTCTAAACTGCCCTGGTTAGTGGACACCCCGCCCTCCCAGGCTGTGCTTCTGTACTTGGCCTTCAGCATCCCATTGAAGGGCCATGAGCTATATTGATGGACCAGAGCAGAGCAAACTCCCCGAAATCGCCATAAGGCCATGCAGTGTAGACCAGGTGAACACAGCCTAAGTGGGAAGGAAATGGAAGGAGGAGAGAAATAGTAACAGTTAACATTAGTGTATAATACCTACCAAAGCCCAGGCCCCGGTATCCAACCGCTCGTGCATGTTAACCTCTCACAGCAGCCCCGTGAGGGTAGGTGCCTCTGGGCTCCTCATTCACATGTGGAGAAAGGGAGGCACAGAGAGGATCCTGGCTCTTGTTGGAACCAGCAGGTGGCCGGGAAGGAGACACTCATCTTAGACGTGATCCTGTGCCTGGCTCTTGCTATGTCGGCCTGTCCCAGGGGTTCCGTTAGGCTCATGGCCTAGTGGGGAGACCCACTCCTCCTTGGGTGTTTGTTGGTAAGGCACTGCGTGAAGTGCTGTTGCAGCACACGGGAGGGAGGAGTTAATCTGCCAGGGAAAATACAGAAGGCTTCTTGGCGGAGGTTGCTTTTCTGAATATCCTTGAAGGATGAGGAGGAGCTTCCCAGGAAGTGCTGTTCAGGCAGTAGGAATGGCACCTACAAATGCACAGCTGGGGAGAGTTTGGGGCCAACTGAAGGACCTGTTTGTTGACCTTGATCTTACAAGGCTGAGGAACAGGGCATAGTGGTAGTTCAGAGGGGTGGGAATGTGTTTCTTTGGGGGCAAGTGTGTAATGAATGTATGTGGAAACTGCAGATAAATGTGTTTGGTTCTCAAACTTGCATCTCCTTTGCAGGGGGGAAAGGGCTTTTACTTTAAAAAAAAAAACAAAACAAAAAAACCTCTGTCAGGCATTTAGGATTTTAGCTGTGGATGAAAAGAGCCATAAACTCAGAAAAACCACAGGACAATTGACGCTTGACCATTGCAGATCTGAACTGCACGTCAGTGTTTCTTGACAAAATATAGTACCATCCTGTAAATGTATTTTCTCTTTCTTAGGATTTTCTTAATAACATTTTTTTTCTTCTAGCTTACTTTATTGTAAGAATAGACTACATACAGCATACAAAGTACATGTTAATCAGCTGTTGATGTTATCAGGAAGGCTTCCAGTCAACAGTAGGCCATCAGTAGTTTTTAGGGAGTCAGAAGTTTTCTGTGGGTTTTTGACCACACTGGGGGGCAGTGCCCCAATCCCTGTGTTTTTTGAAGGCCAGTCGTATCTTCATATAGCTAGAGTATTTTCTAAAATTCTGGATGGATTAAGTTAAGGACCCAAGGGATGGATGTTTTTTAGCCTCCCTAGGTCTCTACTTCTTCATCTCTGAATTGCAGATATTAAATTTTTTAAATTTTGTGATGGGCTGTCCACTAGGGATGGTTTGCTCCTCAAAGAGCATTGAGCAATGTCTGAAGACGATCTTGGTTGTCACGATTAGGGGAGTAAGGGTGAGGGGGCATCTAGTGGGAGAGACCAGAGATGCTGCTAACCATACTACAGCACACCGGATGGCCCCAGATGTCACCAGGGCCCAGGTTGAGAAATCCTACTTTATTCCCTGAGCAATTAATACCTGGATTTTTAATTTAAAGTTTACATTTTTCCTCTTTCTTTTTTCTTTCTAGTGCAATCGTGTTCCTGACGAGAGGAGATACTCCCTGCCCTTAAAGAGCATCTATATGCGACAGATTGACCAGATGGTTGGCTTGATTTGATCTACTCTCCTCTGTGTGGCCTCATCTGATACAGGATGTAAACAGCTGAACCCGCGCCGTGCAGAGATCCAGTCTGAGACAGAAGAGGATGGAAGTCTGGCCATCTGCAATGATGTAGGAATTTCTGTCCCACTCCTCACACACACCTAACAGAATCTTGCATATATTAGTGTTTCTTTTCTGTTCAATAAAATGCCCTGTTTTTCTTAAGGATATAATTTAAAGTAAGAAGGTACATAGAGATTGGCTTCTTATGACATGCTGGTTTTATAAGCACAGTGTGGATGAGGCATCTTTGAGTGGATCTTCATAGCTTCACACTTTGGAATCCAACCAGTGTGTTCCTGTCTCCGGCACTTGCTGTGACTGCAGTATTGCTACCTCTCTGTTAGAGGACTGTGAACGAAATTTCTGTGCGAAGGGCCTGAGGTTCATCCCTATTTATTGCATTTTGTTTTCCTTTCTCTCTCTCATTAAACAATTGGCTCTCCCTCCACTGACGGTTTTGGATCACACGGGGAATATCATTCAGTTATTCATTTGCACCGCAGGTATCTTCACAGTGTTACAAGTTAATTGCTTATGAATAGCTTTTATCTGAATTTCAAAAGGCAGTGTCTTAAGTTGTCACACAGCTAGGTCTTTTGGACGCTGTATTACATTTATTTTGAACTTACCTGAGGAACTCTCATAGTTCCAGAACCAGGTGCCTTTTAGAGAGAGAAAAATACCTAAGAATGTCTGAGCTTCCATCTATTTCATATTTACTAACCAAGGATTCTCAATTCTGACCGGATTTGGGTTAGAATTTTATTTTGTTTTTGTTTTCTGTGTCTTGTGCCAATTAATTAAGTCAGGGAGAAAGAAATGATCAGATGACTCTCTGGCATCCCTGAGCCGTTTCTCTGTGTAATACAGGCTTTAGATTAGTGCCTTATATGATTTTGGTAGGGGCTGCTGAATGTCACAGCTGCTGCTGTGGTTTTAGCAGGCATGTTTCATATTGTCACATGGTGGGACCACATTGAAAAAGGGGAAGGGATGAGTGTTAGTAAGGCTCTGGAAAATTCTTGGCCAGTCCTTGCCTTCCAGCCTGATATTTTAAGGAAACCTGCATTAGGAGGAAGTTGTGCTAGAATGGCTTCTTTCTTAGAACAGAAGTGTCTCTCTTTGAACTTAGGCTGAATGTTCATACAGAGCAGAGGTGGATTTGAACCCTCAGCCTGGCTTCTGTCTAACATCTGAGGTTGAAATGAATCCTGGTACAAAGGGTAGAAGTCTCTTAAGAACCTCCAGCCATACCTGTCCTGTTGCTCACCTGTCTCTGCTTGCCCACTTCAAATGATTTCCTGTTCATTTTTTAAAACCAGAAGTGTGGTCTGAGCCATTGCATACCAATCAAAGGGAGAAGTTTTATTCCTTCTTGAAAATGTCAGTGTTACTGTTTTTTGTTTGTTTGTTTGTTTGTTTGTTTTAATAGATACAGAATTCAGTTTTTGGTGATTTTTATTTTTTTAATTTTTTTTCTTGGTGATTTTTAAAAAAGGGATTTTCAGTAATAAATGTATCACCTCTGTCATTTAAATATTTACTATGCAAATTGTAAAGTAAAATCAGATGCTTCTGTTTTACCTTTTTTCTTTATTTCAGAAGCATTCTCTTTATCAACCTTGTCTCATCTACTGAATAGAACATTTTGAGAATACTCTATATTTTAAGTGTTTTCGTTGACTTGGTAAAATAAAAATGCCTCATTTTACTTATGCCATGTGCATACAGGCACGAGTGTCCCCGTAGCTTCTGTCCAGGCACACTGAGGTGGGACCATGAACGTCCCATTTGGGAGGATGGGGCACATCAGGGAAGAAAGTGGGCCTTCTGTATCCGTTTTCTCTCTTGTGGTCCTGCTGGATTCTGTCTCCAGCTTCTGTGACATCGATATGTAGCATTCCAACACTACCCTCTCATCCGGGCCCGTAACCTGTCACCCGCTCTGGCATTCCATCCCCCTCATGCTCAGGCCAGGGACCTGTGCCTCAGCACCACTGCCACAAGCCAGGGGCCACAGGCTGGCAGGAAATGTGTTCTGTATGAGTCTCAAGCCCCCTTTGACTTCTGGGCTCTGACTTGTACCAGGTGGTGAACCTGAGGGTGAGGGCCTTATTGCAGACCAGTCCTGCTGGTTGAGCTTCTGGGCTACCTGGTTGAAAGTTTGATGTTACCTAGCCCATTATCTATGGGATAGAGGCCCAGTATTGTCTAGTGCCAGTCGTGAAAGGAAGGTTCTCTGAGCCAAGGTCAAAGCTTACTTGTGTTCTTTTTGGAAATCAGAGTGTCAACACCTGTGCTGTATCTTGCAGGACAGTTGCTGTTTCTTCTCTTCTGTGTTGCAGGATGTCAGGTAGGGAAGGGCCAAGGAGGGGAGTGTCTTGCGCCAGGACTGCCCTGATCCCTGAACAGATGTCATCCTTTGGAACAGCTGTGAGCCTGCCCCCTCCTCCAGTTCCCTGTGTAGCGAGTGTCTAGAGTCTGCTTTGGTCAACATGGGGTCAACATTTTGCAAAACTGTCGTAGAAAGCTGCCCCGCAGTTAGGCTTGGCAGAGTCTGGATCTCCCACCACAGAGTTCTCAGTCAGCACAGGGCAGGCCCTGCTACTTTGGGTGATGTGACCAAGGAAGTCCATTTCTGGAACAGTAGGTGACAAAGGAAGTGTTGGCTGGCTTCCGGCTGTGCTGGCCTTGGTGAAGAACCAGCTTCCAATTTTCACATCTTTCTACAGTTTGTTCCAGCTCTTCTACCTGAACTCGGTCTGTGCCTCCAAATCCCTGGTCCCAGGCTATCCCGGATTCGAGGGGCACGTGCCATCACTGAAGTCATTGTGTGTCTATGCACCAGGGCTGTGTCTATGCAGGTGAATTGTAGAGGAGGCTCTGTATGCGATCCGAGGGCCTGAACGTGGTTCCCCCTACCTCCGTCCCTCCCCCTCTCTCCCCCCCCTCCCCTCCTCTCCCCCAGCAAAGAAAAATACCCTCTTAGCTATTTTCTTAGCTCAGTTTACCGAATGATTGCAAACTGTAATCCTTTGCTTTGAATCTTGTGGACTGAACGTCAGACATCCTTTTCTTCTCTCTGGAGGGCTCCAGAGGTCTTTCTCTTTTGACACTTTCAAATTGAATGCTGGTGAAACGGTAGGGCTGAATGATGGCTCTAACCAGAGTACCTGAGCAGGGACTTTTGAAGAAAATCTTCTTCTTTCCTTTTCCATTCTCAGACATCCAGCTCCTTCTCTAGTGCCTCTTCCCTGCAGGGCAGGGACCCTTGTGAAAGAGGGAAGATGGGCTGGCTGGGCTGCGCGTCCCTAGGTGTTGCAGGGCTCAGGGTTCTGTTCCTGCTGGAGTTTGGATGTGAATCCGGGAAAATGTACCTGTGGACCTTCCTGATTCATTACCCCCTTTCCCTCTTTCTGAGAGGCAGAGAAATATATTTTTAAAAGGTATTTTGTTTTAGTTTTAAATGGCAAAACAAGCTGCATTTTTATTTATTATGCACAAAAAAGGTAAATCTGTTTTTACAAAAAAATCTGGAGTTGGAAACTCTGGGAAAACCTATTGAAATATACACATGCTTCTCTCTCTGTAATGTGCAATATGCTTTGCAACTATAGATGATATTTTATGTTTAATCTGTAAATAAGAAGTGTATTTAAATTAAGAGGGAGCTTTTTGTAAAAGGACCAAATGTTCTTTTATAAATGTACTAAGAAATATCTTGTTCTTTGAAATTTATTAGGATTTTTATGAGTAATTTTTATTAAAAGATTTTTTTTTTGAATTGTCATTTTGTTTCTCATTTATATACTCACACATATACATTACACACAGGACAAACTATAAAACTAGACAAATAAAAACATTGTGTTGGTTTTTTTTTTTTCCACAGCTGAGCCCTGAGTAATACCGTTCCATGTCTGTCTGTCACACCTTCTACTGAACTGTCCTTGCCATGTGGTTTAGTCCTGTCCCCCACACCCTCTCCCCTCTGCATTAGCCTCCTTTCTCCCAGGCACTGACTCATGCGCAATTCTTGTTGCCATTTATCTGAATCTCTCTAAGTTCTGGAACCAGTTCTCTGTTATCTTAAGCAAGGGGATTCATTTCTCCTAACCTCGCAGGCTAAGCCGCACATGCAGTCAGTTTGGGGTGCGCTGGTGTGGGGGAGGCCTGAGGCGAGAGGGTTTCAGCGAGATGGCCTCCATCCCTACTGCTACCATCTCTCTGCTGACCCTGAGATGGGGTCTGGAAGGAGATCGCTGATTCTGCCCTGAGACCCCTCGATGGGGCTTTTGAAAAACTGTGAGTTGCAACAAGGAGAGAGAGAGAGCCCTGAGATCGGAAGTACCTTGCCGGTAGTAAAGCACACTGGCTTGGGACACCTGGGTGGGTTAGTTGGTAAAGGGTCTGACCCTTGATCTCAGCTCAGGCCTTGATCGCAGGGTTGTGAGTTAAAGTCTCCCACTGGGCTCCACGCTGGGTGTGGATCTACTTAAAAAAAAGTACACTGCCCCTTTGTAAGGGTTGGTGGTGGTTGTTTCTATGAAGTCTTGTGGGTTTGTAACCCTCTTGACAAGGCTGGGTGGGGCTGTTATGCCCAGGGGGCACCTGAAGAGCCTTGGTATTGGGAGCACCCATGCCCTTGATCAGTGGTGGTGAGAGTCCTGGGGCATCCTGTCCAGATGTTGCAGGGGAGCGCCAGGGCTGAGAGTGGGACTCTGGACCCACACTGTTTGAGGTACATTCCTAACTCCACCCATGAGCCTTGTGCCAAGTCATGTAAGGTACACGATCTTATCAGACCTCAGTTTTCCCATCTATTATATGGAATGACAACAGCAGTCCATACACATGGGGTGGACGTGTGGATTCAGACAGTAGTACTTCAAGTGGCATCTGCACATAGTAGCTGTGTGTGTGCGTTTCCTGTAATTATAGTCAAGTTGGATTTGATGGCCAGGATAAGCTGTAGGACTTTTACACAGAGACCCTGGGGAGCAATAAGGACTTAGATTGGCCTGAAGAGGCCAGAGCCGGAGCCTGGGCTTGTCCTGGATCAGCAGCTCGCATCAGAGTCTCACATGATTTCCACTTCCAGGGTTCTTGTGAGCAGAATGAGCTACATTTTATCAGAGCCTGTTACGTGCCAGCTGCTAACATCTTTACATACCTTACTTCAGAGTTTAATCAGGCAAATAGGTTGCTGTCCTGTCCACCCTAAGGAGCCAGAAGGTGAGGTGCAGGGTGGTTAGCAGTGGTGCCTGTACCCCACATGCCCCAGGGAGTTGTGGGCAAGTGCCCAGCACAGTCTGCTCCTCACTGGCTCATCAAATAAATGGTGCTCCAACATGTGTGTTTGTGCATGTGTGTGCACGTGCGCACGTGGCTTAAAACCTACCACGTTCAAGCCTCACCAAAGTCCTGGGAGGTGAGTTCTATTTTTCC